GACATTTCTGAGAGACTAGGGCTGGGACAGTCAGAAAAGCTCCTTTTTCGTCAAGAATTTGAATTGGTTAGGTTCTAGAGTCTGCCCTTTTGATCAAGGTGTCATTGGCAATTAGACAGAAAACTGCCGATCTTGGTGAAACTGTTATGAGTCCTACTTTCAGCTCTAAGCTTTCCTACACTTGCTTCCAATCATTTCTCAAATTAAATGGTCTCTAATCGAGCGCTGATTTCTCCCAGGCCTCTATGCCTCTTCTTATTGGAATAATGTGGAGAGAAATAACTTCTAGAATAGTTAGAAAGTAAAGCAAGATCTGAACTTTATGGAGAAAAAAGGGTTTGAATTATTCTTTCAGCTTCCTTAATTAAGAAAAGTATCATTGTATTGTTATTAAATCCAACTCAGAATCGATAGTTGCTCGATTGATTACTACCAGGAAGAGGGCGAAAGGGAGATGAAATTATAAAATGCCACTGAAAATGCTACTCTAAAAGTTATGACCTGAGTTGTCTTAGATTGGTTAATCGACTATTTGTTTTCTATGTGGTTAGTTTGTTTGAAACAAGCATCATGAGAAAGTTTTAAAGTGAACTGTATCTTGTAATCGGGCTGTATTTTATAACAGAATCGTAGCCTTTGTATGGCATTTATTTTTTCTCTAATTCAATAAAGTTGTTTTTTCTAGTAATTCACCATTTTGTTTATTTTATTTTTTTCCGCATGTGGGCTTCTTGATTCTGGTTAATTTCCGTAAGGGCTCGGCGCGTTTTTTTTAGCAGCCAAAGTACTCTGTTGCATGACCAATAAAAAGTAGGCCAGTTAACGGGAAAAGGAGGGAAAAAAACTGAAGGGGAAATGGGCATAGTTTCGTGACGGTCTTAATTTTCCCTTCCCAGCACTTTCAACTTAATTGCAAAACACAACCGTTTACTAAGCGGCGCAGGGGGAAAGGTGTCTTGATCTTTACAAAATTAGTTGAACGCATATTCGGGCTTTCATCCAAATTTAACCCATTTCCTTCAGGCGTACTCAGATTTTCCACATCTCAATATGGATAATTCGTCTCTTTCGCATTTGTTGTTTGATCTTGTCCCTCGTACACTGCACGCATTACGCGCTCTGCATGACAAGACTGAACAACGGCTGCGACAGAGACTCTCATGGTTACCGTGCGTTTCGACAACTTACTTGGGAAATGAAAAGAAACCGAAAGTTCCGGCAGCTTTCTGTCACGCCCGCCAGAAACTAGATCTTGTAATAGTTAGTGAACAGCGACACTTTGTTACTTTATCTCGTCCTATTCTTAGGATCCAGAATGGGCCCGCTCGGCCAGAGAACTTAAGTCGACAGGTTACCTCACTGGCAAACCAAATGAACATTTCGAAGCAAAACCGAAGACTAAGCCGAAGACTAAGCCGGAGCCTGAGTGGAAGACGGCTTTTTACGAAAAAAGGAGGCCGATAAACCCACCAAGACGCAGTCGGAGTATTGGGAGGAGGCGCGGCCGGACTGGGCGAAAGGAAAGAACCCTGTCGATAAACCCAAGATCCCTGAAAAACCCAAACCCAAAGCGAAAGATTACTGGAAAGAAGCAAGACCCGAATGGAGCAAAGGAAAAGCTCCGTCGCCAAACCTACTGCAGGAGATATTAAAAAGATAGAGGAGAAGAAGAAGTACGAGTATCCAAAACCTGACTGGGCAACTCGAGGGAGGAACAAAGATAAGGTAAGATACTTCTTCTTTAACCTAACATCAGTTTGCGTACTCTCCATACTGTTCTTTGGACATTTCCAAAGGTGCTGACAAGGATATTATTTACTGCGATCTTTGCTCGAAACTTTAAGGTTTAGTTTAAGTTGTGCTTTAGAAATTTAAATGAACTAACCCGAACGTAATTAAGAAATCTACGAAAGGATCTGTTCGCTGTCAAGTAGTCCAAAGCTTCTTGTGAATTGTTTATGCAACTTGCTCTGATGCTGCAAACAAGATTACGTATCGACCACATCTTGCCAAATTTTTTAATACGTATAGACTGAAACGTTTTAACTGACACTCAGTCCTCAGTGTATCTTCGTTATATAAATATTTAAATGTGCTCTTAAATATTTTATATGATCTTCCAACTAGAGATAAAGCTTTAAATCTTGTGAAAGTAAGGCCCTCGATATATTTCGCTCCCTTTTAAAACTTAAACTTTCAGTACCTGAACTACGGCCAGCCTTGGTAGATTATGTAAAATTATCCGTCATTGTATTTTTTGTAGATGCAGGCGTCAGACGAGCAAGATGGCAACAAAGGTCTTCTTAAAGCCGAGTTGGAAAACATATTTGGAAAACCCAAACCGAAAGAGGCGGGTAGTCACCGAGTAGTGGTCAGTAATAAAAAGAACGACGTCGCTGATCTTCATCGTACATATTGTTTATCACTATCCACGGCGGTCATTTTCTATGATCTTTAGGCCGAAGGAAAACGTAGTTGAAATTAGTAAAAATTGCATTCTTAATGTTTACTTCGCTTTCTTGAATAAAAACACGTTTTTCGATTAACGCGAAAGCCACATGCCAAAAGTTAATGAGTTTGAGGACTTGATAAATTTACTAAAAACGTACTGTCCAGTTGTTTTTGGCCACAATGCTTTCAGCTTACATCGTAAATTGATTACAGTAACTGGAACGATTGAAATTCAGTCAATGTCAATGTCAATGAAAGTCAGTCAATGTTCTTTTATTTTCTAAAACAAACAGAAAAGACGCCATTCCTCCGAGGGCATCGAGGAAAGTTATCGAGCAAGCATACGGTGAGAAAAAAAATCATTTTTTTCTTAACGAGCTAGTCTCAATCTAGTTCTGCGCATTATAGTGAGGCGTACCAATGTAAGCGATCACAGATGAAAAAATAGAGAATGACGTGGAAATGAAAGCGGGGCATTCGTTTAAGTGTTCAACTTACGTCCGTATATGTGCAGTTTCACTTCTAAGTAGTATGTGTATGACTTCTACTCTGAGCAGGCAAGAAAGGATTAATTATCCTCTCGGAGCAAGCCATCATCGGGAGTTAAGGCCAAGTAAGCCTAAAACCGTCCTGACACTGGCTCTGTACTTTTACCTTTGATAGAAAATTTGCAGACCATCGTCGCAGTCTGATAGTGAAAACAAAACATCGACCAACGTCCAATCCTGTTAAGCAGCTGTTGTCACGCGAGGATGTAAGAAGTGAGCTGTAAGGTGTGGATTGGAGTCTAAGAATGTCAGTATCTACGTTCCGTTTGTCTAAATTAGCGTGCAGACACGCGGTGAGAATTCATTCTCATCAAGTACCAAGTGGCTTAAAAGGGTGAATGAATCGGTCGGCTTCATCTGGTAAATTGCTCTTTTCCTTTCTCTTTCAAGGTTACATTTCAGAAAGTATAAGTTTAGTTTACGTTTTAAAAATATTTTGGCATCAAAAGGGAAGTCTAGAGCAAGTGACCTGGATTTTATAAATCTCGTAAATTGCCAACATTGTTCATAAATTTAATAACGACTACAAGCGTTGGTTTTTATCTCGTCGAACTTATGTACAGATGATGTGTGGACGTCAATACTCTGAACCGTTTCATTACACTATATTTAATTGCTGCTGAGATCAAATCTGTTCATTCAAACTTTAAGTTAAGGGACGTGATTTATTTTGTTGCGTTGTATCATTGTAGTTAGAGCATGAGAGGATAAGACTGGTTAAAGATATGCGCACAAGTTTCAGAACTCTGCAATGAAAGGATCAATTAGGAAACGAAAATACGTAACAGGGAATGAAATCAGTGGCACATTAGTATAAAATTTAAGAATGAACAAAAAATAAACAATTTTGTATCAATAAAACTACAACAATCAGAAAAAAAATGCTAGATGAGCAAAGAGTAAATAGATTAGTGAACAGACTTATTCCTGATGAGTGATTACGGGTTGACATACACGTAGAAACCCGCAAATCTGAGTATAGTTTTTACTTACCCCAGCGAAAAATTTGTATTTCATTGATATCAAGTGAATATATTCTCTTGGTGATATTTAACACAATTCGTCAATATTGCCGTTACATTGAATTTCATTCATGTATAATGTGTATCGAATATAGGCCTTCTAATTCATGTATAATGCTTTATCGAATGTAGACCCTCAGTACAACTGTTATGGGATACTGATGTAAAAATTTTTTCTGTCTAAAAACTATTTAAATGTTGTTTCCAAATAAAATTGGAAGTAAAATGAGACGCACTCATTTTGGTTCATCAAAGTTTGGCTCGTGGTATTGTATACTATTCGCACTTGGACTTGCATTAGTTCACCTTTATACACTAAGAAAAAGAGAGACTGATTCATTATCCTCTGTTAACTTGCATGAAAGTTAACGGCATTTATATTCTTTGCGTTAAATTTTTTACAAGTGAAATTGTGTAAGCGAAACCTAGCTTGGCGTTAAATGACAGGTGTAATGTTGTAAGCTTTGCCTATACTCTGATACTTGTAACCTGACGCACTTAGCACAGCGGTTTTCTCATTGCATAACGAACGAAGTGAAGCTGCTACCTTGAGGCTGCCATAATCTATATCACGTCCAAAGGTTTGCTTTGCTTCTTTGAATAATTACTGTTTGAATAATAATTGTTTTTCGGAAGCCTTGTTTAATGCACTATTAAATAAGTTACGACAAATTCGGAATCACAACGAAAGTGACTAGGGGCGCAACTTGGGTTTGATTGAGCGCACCTTCAGAAAACCAAATACTAAGGGGAATATAGTTTGAGCGGAGTGGAACCCAAAGGAAGAGATGAGTCAGTGGTGTTTCATGAACAGATGGATAAAAACCGTGAACGGCGAGGCGAGCGAAAAAGGTGACACCTGAAGGCAACAGAGGAGATAGCCCAAATAAGAGCGAGATGGCAAGCAGTTTCTACTGATGGACCTTTGATCCACTAGCACTGAAAAAGAATGAGGCAAGACAGACAACGACGATAAAGATCGGTGCTAACAATAATTTTATTACCTTGTTAAAAAACAATCAGCTTTCGATTTTTAATCGCTGGTGTAAACTATAGATGAGCACAGTCAGTTATATTTTGATGATTATTCACACAGAAATATTAAAAAAGTTGAAAAAGTGAACAAGTTGCGACTAGGAGTTACTCTAAAGATTAGTCTAAAAACGGACAAAGCTATGAAATTCATAATTATCCCTTTAACTCCCAAGATCTCGTTAGTAATTCTCCTTAACATATACCACATAGTTTTTGTGATGTTAGTTTGGAGAATTTGGTATTGGATCAACTTATAATCCCCCAATAGATTTTTTCTTTAGTCTCATCACTTGTCTGCATGATATTGTATTAATATTGTAAGGAGAAATTCTGTCTTGGTTACTCATGGGAGTTAAAGGGTTATGGGTTTCTAAATTTTTTTTAATAATCTACCCGAAGCTTCAGATACGTAAGAAATTTCACCCGAAACATTTGCAGCGATCATCGAGTGGCAGTTTCTTGGATACCAGCGATCTTTAAGAGACCAGGCTGTTCTAATTGACGTTGAAAAAAAGTTGAATTAAACAGCTATAGAAAGTAATTCCTATATGACTATGAAGCAGCTCTTCATTTGAAGTGTCACTGTTCAAAGAACATTAAATGTTCTTTTGACTGTACCCTCTGCCACAAATCTATCGAACACATTATTTGCTAATGTTTTACAATTATTAAGCAAAAAATCGTATTCAGTCTTTAGCTCTCCCTTGCAATGGAGAAACTCAATCAAATTTTTCATTGCTCCTTTGCAATCACCACGTTTTATTTCGACTACTGGAAATTTTCTGAGGAATCCTTCGTTATAATTTCTAACCACGGATGGAAATTTGCTCCTCTGAAGGAGAATTTTTTCAATGTCTCTCTCAATGGACCACCACCAAGAAGATGAATATATCACGACAAACTGATGGTTAAAAACAACTTGGGTAAGTTGCCATCCCACCAGAGGTACTTTATAAAGCCTCATTTCTTTTAGTTTTTCGGAGTGGTCAATTCCTCTATGTACGCTTATTTTCTGTCTGAGGGAGTCATGACTAAAGTGACGAGTTCCTGGTCCTGTGTTGAATACTAGTATCCCGTTCTCACTTCCACCTTTAGTTGTCTTTGTGCCATTAAATTTCGACATTTCACAAAGCCTGTGGGTACAAGTCGAAATTAAACAAAATATAAAACTGTACGACATCTAAAATATTTTTTTTACACTTGGTTGATCACTATAAGACAAAAAGGGATTCCTACTCTATTGTCCAAGATTATTCAGAGACAGAGGGTCATGAGCTATGTAAAGCAGGGCTTAAGTTCAAGTACTTTACAAAGGAGAAGGAAGATGATGAAACATCGTTTAAATTAAGGACGCATTTCGAGGGGTCGCAGAGTTTAACTGAAGTCTGGTCGGTCCAAATTTTGATATTAATAAACGATGCATCGAAGTTGGGGAAGTTGACTTAACTCAAAAACCGTGAAGCTCTTGTTTGAATGATACTGATTGAGACGCCGAACTTGATTAGCTCAACTTAAGCAGGAGAGCTTAAGGATAATTTTTCAAAAATTGGTATTGTCCTCCTCAAAGAGCTAAAGGAGATCTAGAAAGTGATACTTTGATACTGAAAATCCAAATACCAGCAAGCAGAATCTTATAGGGCATATTTTTTACCTTCAAACTTCGATTTGCTTCAAGCTTTATGAGCCAGTTGTCAGCCTAAAAGACAATTTGACGCTCTATTATTCCCAGGAAAGCATAATTTTCTACTATAACAAGTCACAATCATCTAATAAACTTGTTCTCAAGGCCCGTACTAAGTAAGTTGTTCCCGTAACTGGAAGAGGATTGTTCACAGGTGATCTGTTAACGCGTAGACGTTGACATTTATTAACCCTTTAACTCCCAAAAGTGATTAACATGAAACTTCTCCCCACAGTATCCTTACTTTATTCAGCAAAAAGGTAACGAGAATATTCCAACTTATCTGGGAGTTGTTATCTTGATCTAACACCAAATTCTCGTAACTAATTTACAAGTAAATGTGTAGCAGCAAGAGGGAAGAATTAACAATCAGATCTTGGGAGTTAAAAGGGTTAAAGCAAATGCATTTGTTTCTGTGCGATCGCATTCGATGAATTGCATTTTCTACATGGTACAATCTGAGGAAGGGCAATATGACACACCCGTATTGAAGAACGTAACTGAAAAAAGGATTTCATAGTAACTAATAGTTCATACAGAGTTAGAGAATCAATAGAAGGAATGAACTATACGGTATAAAGAATATCAATATCTAACTGAAATCACAATCACATTACGAAGCTTTACCATGCTAATCCTTGGAATCTTTCTTTTATATGAACCATTCGCAGAAATAGATATCAATCCCTTAGTGTTTTGGGGGGCAATTGGACGCTCTGACGTAATGGGCTGATTGTACATAATTCCCTCATAAGATCAGTTTAAGATCACAGACGGCTTGGATATTACGTCTTCATCAACCGGATTTGTTGGAGTTGGTCCGGATTTCAACACGAATCAAGAGCTTAATAGCCTTCCAAAGGCTTCTTTTAAATTTCAAAAGGAAGATTTTGTGCGCAGGTGATATCGTATACACGGAAGGAACCTTTTTGTGAAGCGAGTCATTATGCGCGCATCACTCTGGTTGCCTCATTGAGGGTCTCATAGGGTGATGGCTTTTACGGCCAACGATTAAAATTTTGGCCATTCAACAGTTGACCTTTTTCACGAATATCAGTTAAAATTTAGCAATTTTTACGCCCACCGACTAAATGTTTTGGCCGTTTTACGGCGATCGGTTAACTTCATTGAGAATTACTTTGTTTGCATGAAAGACCGAGTGGTAATAGGAACCTAGTAGATTCTTAGAGAATTTCCATTGATGACAGCAGAAGCAAGGGATTTTTTTTTACTTAAAGCCTTTTCCGCTTTTGTTTCGTGCTATCAATTTGTTTGAAATACTGTGTCATTTTATTTTTACTGCAGAGTTATGGTTCAATTTTTCCGGTTACAGGCTGCACTGCACATAATTCCCAGCAAATGTTCTGCTAGAAACTCTGCTTGAGGAGCTGCTAAACTGAGTTTTGGTTGTGTCTGGCTCTACTGCCTAATTCTTCATTTTTGAAATGCATTTATTGACTTCGGACTGGCTTCGGCTAGATACACGTTATGATTTTAGATAAAAAGACTCATTTCAGAGTTCGAATTCTGGCCAATCCGACGTCGAAATTCCTGCCCAAGCCAGAGGTTGAGCGCAACTTCTCCCGTACAGTAGCTCATCAAGGATAACGCTATTTATTCCTTTTCTAGCTCAAACGGTCGATATCTGAACTTGGTTGTTCCTTTCGTGTCTGCTCTATGCGTGTTATTTCAGTCTTCAAACTATAAAGGAATTCTAAGTATTTGCTTCATTCGCGAGCCATCATGAACCACGTTCTAAAATCACACAACCGGATAGTGACTTAATTTCGCAAACACTGACCGTTAACCGGCAATTAATGATACAAACTTTGCTATTGATAGCACATTTTATACGCGACACAATTAAATTATATGTTGATATCTTGCTGAAGTCTGACTGTAGAAGCAGATGGATTTGATATCGTGATATCTGTAAAGTTCTGTGAGCTCGATAATATCCGCCTGACTTGATCTTGACTTCAAGGAAAATCTTACGAAGTTGTTCAAATTGTCAAATTAGAAAGCAAAATTTTCCCAACCTTGAATATGATATATACCACACAGTGACTAATACAACACGAGGAAATAAAGGTGTCTAACGTTGAAGATGAAAAGTTAGACGGTCAAACGTCAATCAAGGATTTCCACATTGCAACTATATACAAATTACCCCGCTAGCGTTAAGAGCCCTTGCGCATGACATTCAACTTCCAATCTCGTACCAGTGAGGTGGAAAGAATAGAGACTCTGGGAAAGTCACCAAAAAGAGATTTGAGGCATTTTGTTGGGGAAACGTAAATGGAATCTGAAAGGGAAAATGCAGAATAGAAATAAGTTACATACATCTTCGCAAAATTGCGCATAAAGCGAGAACTGAAATATTAAAACTTTTTTTTTCCGAGAAAACTTTATTCCATGTTGTTTCGAATAAAATTTGATAAAGACAGCTTATAAGAAAAACAAAGTGTCACTCTGACTGAGGATCATTAGTCCGTTAGCATCTCATGGGTTTTTTAGGATTCTCTTTCATTGGATTGTTAAGTTAGCACCTGGCGCTCTTTTAGGACTCTTTCACTCGATTGAAACATTAGTCCTCTGCCTACTTTTGGCATATTAAATTAATAGATCAAATTTATTAATTAAATTAATAGATCAAAGACAAAACGTCTTTTTCTTTTAGCCTATTAAATTAATAGATCGAATTAATTAATTAAATTAATAGATCAAAGACAAAAACGTCTTTGATCTCGAGAGAATCATCAAGATAATGGCGAAAATTAGACTCCCGATGAGGAATTTCACGACAGTTTTCAAGATACTTGAGTGAGCGTGATCTCAGTTGTGATTTTGTCGAGAGGCAGGAATGGTGCGTAGAGGACAAAGACAAATTATAAATGAAGTCAGCTACTTTTCAATGTTAACTATAATTGAGTAGAATATAAAAATGTTTATTCAAACTGCCTTTGGAGGCAAAATCAGTGAAAATGAAGTAGGTTGAGCATGTTTTTCGTAAGACTGGTTTACCATTCTCAAGTTTCTTAAACTGTTGTGAGCAGGCGGCTAAAATAGAGATGTTCTTCAAGTTATTTGACGGTTGGTTTTTGACGGTTGACGGTAAACATACATGCTTTTGACGGCTGACGTTGAAATTTTAAGTCCTTTGATGGCTGACTGTTAAACTCCACTGGGACCCTTCTATACACCTAAACCGATTACGGGTTTTCATCAATCAAATTTTCCCCTTCAGATCAAATCGTTCCTTAACCTTTGTGAGTTTTTCTCCGTATCTTCCGATACCAAGTATTGTAAATAACAAAAATAATGGTATTTGATGAACACATGATGCTTTTGAAAATAATTTATTGAAAGAAAAACATATTTCGGATGAAACATCATTCATCGTCAGTTGTATAATGAGAAATAAAATGAAATAATGCAATAAATAGCACAACAAAGTGAGATGTTAACATCTGACTTTGGTTCATCAAAGCGAAATCTTACTTCGTGCTGCTACGAAGCCTTGGAAAAATAATGGTAATAATAAAGATAGTAACCATTTTAATATAGAAGTCGCAAGGCGATGAAAGGGAGATTAATGCTTTTTATCTTCATAGGGCAACGAAGTCTTAAGATGACCTGTGTAATTAAAGTTCATTCATTAAGGAGGGGGGGACTTATCGAACACAATTTCAAGCATATACCTCCATCAAAAATAACCCCTAAGCAATGTAGTTCGTTGGTAAAGATAATAATAACAAGAAAGTTGTTGCTACCCTGCTTCATGGTGCTTTGAGATAGTTCTTTAGTCGGAGTGGAACAGAAAAAAAAATATGCCCCACATAATTTTGAATAAAACCTTAACGTAACAGTTTCTGGGCCTTTACTAATAGCGTTTGGTGACAGGTGTTATTTAAAAAGTTGAGGGGCCGCAGCCAGGATAAAACATCTTATGAAATTTAAAAACGATCTCTGGCTAAAACTTTTAAAGAATACGAGCTTTCGGCTGTTTGCGCTACAGCCTTCAACGGGTAAAATGATAAAAAGGTAAAAAATACTAGGTGTGAAGTACAAAGTAAAAATTAAAAATGCTGATAACTAAGAATGTTTGTTAAAAAGAATGAAACACTATAGTTCTGGTATTTGTAACCTGACGCCAAGTTTGCAGAGCTTCTTCGAGTGAGAATTTTCTTCGGGAGACATTTTTAATACACCAGTAAGTCTTTTCAGTCACGACAAATTCAGAATCGCAATTACTATGATAAGAGGGTGCAAGTTCGATTTGATTGCGAACACCTTCAGGAAACCAAATACTAAAAGGAAAGCTTGAGCGGAGGTGGAATCCACAGAGAGAAACGAGAAAAGGGCGTTCAAGGAACAGGTGCATAAGGCCAGCGAAGAAGGCTACGCCTAGAGGCAGCAATGAGAGTAGCCCAAATAAGATCACTTATGGACCTTTGATTCACTAGCAGTAGTGGCGAATGAGCAGAGAAAGACAACATGATGAAAATCCGTACCAACGATGACTTTATTAACATTGTTAAGAAATGATCAGCGTCACCGTCTCCCTTTACAAAGTTAATTAAACAGATATGCATGTCAACATAAACGAATAAAGGGGGTGAGTTTCTAAAGAATGCTACGTCAGTGAGGGGTGTTACAAGATAATTTGGTTTCATCAATTAAAATGATATGAATTGGCTGCCGTAGAGATGTTCTAAAACTGACCTTACGAGGGTTTTTTATTTTTTTTAACATATTTTTCATTTTTTTCCCCAAAAGCACCTAGGCTTAACGAGGGGGGTTACAATATTACAAATACAAAATCAATTTATTCAGCTTTACACACAAACGGACACGTAAACAACGCATACAAGTTGCAATAACAACGAGTTAAACTTACTAAGTTAGGAATATATTATTTAAACAATCCAACAATGACCTCAGAAAAGCGATTAATTGATCGTGTTAATGTAATTCTAAAACTTTGTACTTCGCGTAAAAAAGCACAGTTGACGTCGTAATTTACAGACTCAACGCCATGCAATAAAATTTTGTTTCCTAGCATCGCCTCTCGATGACCATGTTTGCGAGCGTTAGTCCTCCATAAGAGCGGATTCGCTCTGAAACGCCAGCTTTAGAATCCCTTTACGGTTGCAAATTCCCCTTATCATTTCTGTCAGTTGATAAATGGAGAAAAATACATAGGTACAAGAAGATATGGAATTTCTCTTCGAATGTTCAACTCGATAGCTCACGGGTCAGATATCGATTTGAACACAAGAAGAGAGCTGATTACATATCTGCTAGCAACCATTTATTCTATTGTCTTTTAGATAAACACAGTAGGCCTTTCCTGACAAGAAAAGTCGACGTTATTAATAAATGAAAAGCATAGGATCCACAACCCACGTAAAAAAGTCGTAAAGCACGTCGGCGATTGTCGGCGATAAGTCTCAAGATGGGAAAATACGTTGAATCATAACAAAAACAGAAAAGGGGATAACTTTCAATTCACAGAATTCACAATTAAAGACTTTTTCTTTGCCAGGTACACGGCCAAAATTGGTCAGTGGCAAATCTTCTAGCTGTCGATTTTTGTTCTCAGCCGTGAGAAATGCCATTACTAAAGTCACTGAATACCAAACTTTTGGTTGTTCTTGTCCTACTTTGTTTTTCTTCCGCCTCTAAGAAATTTTGAAGTTCATTGTTTGTGAGCGATACAAATTTTTCAGTGTTTTAGCAGCCGTAATCCGAGAAATTTCGACAAACGAACGGTGAACGACCAGTCAGAGTGGCGCAAAAGGCGAATGACGTGTCAGCAGCAGCGAATATTTTTTAATAATCCCGGCGAATAATTGTTCAATACCAAATTATCTTGTGACATCGGAAACTACAGACCACTTTGCATAATCTGGTTCAGTGCTCTGACCCGGAAAAAGCATGCGAAAGACAAGAAGACGTCAAGATACGATTATGAGCTTCTATTGAACGAATTGATCAACTTGACCGGCATTTCTTACTTTAAAACTCATTGAGAGCGGTGAATCATCATTTTCTCAGTTAAGGCAAACACTAACGAATAAATTGTAAAATTTCTCAAAGTGTGAGCGAACTGGAGACGTGGAAAGCAAAGTTTCTCTGCTGATTTCCTTAAGAGTTGTATATTGAACGATCGTTAAGGCTTTCGACGCTTACGTTGAGTCACGCTTTATAAAACACGTGTCTGTTTTAATGATATTTCACATCCAAATATGAAAGACACAATTCTGAAACATCAGCTGCTCTTAAAGCTTTACTATTTTGCTTCACGTAAATTATGCTAACTGATGGAGACGTTACAACAAGGACACAACTCGATCATTTTCTTACTTTCACTTTCAATACTTTGACGCCATCTTAGCCCTTCATTCGCTTTGCTTTGCCATAATCACTAGTCCGACGAAACGTATGCTACTCTTTTCATAAAATAACCTTGAATTTGACTTACCAGAATTCGAGAAGCGACCTCTTGGAATAAAGATTTGACTTCTATCTTCTTCTCTGGTTCTCATGAAGAGGGGTTGATAGCTTAATTCAAGGATACAGACTCTCTGAAGATTCAACTCTTGCAGACAGAGAGGGCGAACCAATTGTGATGCAAACTATAAGTATAGTAGCTGCTTGAGAACCAGGTTAAGTAGGAGTGATTATACTTCCCACGTGATTTTGATAATTAGGAGCAAAGTACATGTACGAACCCTCAGCGGCGTTGATCAGCTTTGTGTGACGCCGTCCAAGTTTTTATCATGTAGCGAATAAATTAGTTTCTTGACCTCTACATTATCAGGAGTGTGACGTAGGGGTTGCCTTCGTTTTTGCGTGGGTGCGTTCAAATCTCTCAGGCTAATCAAATGAATGTAGCTGCTACTTAACTCTGCAAACTTCACTGCGGAGACGAGAACTCTTGAACTGCGTGTGTTCGGGTGTTTGAGTGTCTTATGGGCGGCCTTTACCACCAAAAATACAAGGATGTCAAATAGATCAGCAAATACAAAGCTGGTCTAAGAATGAGCGGCAGGATAGCATAGCTAATAAAGGATTGGCATGGCCGAATTATAGGCGGTTTAGTTTTCCTTCATGAAACAAAACATCCTAAACGTGAATAATTAAGCCAAATGATAAATGGTCTAGTTCCCTATGTCGAGTTGGAACATGAAATTGTGAAATGGACTAGCTCAGTTGCGAATAGCTTAGCACTCATTTTCAATACAGTACAAAAACGGTTTAGCGCTACGTAAAATGGCTCAGCGTAATGTCGAATGATACCGTGTACACACATAAGGTTTAACGTTGCGTGAAATGGCTTAGCGCAATGTCGAATAGCACAGCGCGCACACAAACGGTGTAGTGTTGCGTGAAATGGCTCAGGGTAATGTCGAATAGCACAGCGTACGCACAAACGGTGTAGCGTTGCGTGAAATGGCTCAGCGTAATGTAGAATGGTACAGCGTACAAACAAAAATTGCAGCGTTGTGTGAAATGGTTCAGCGTAATGTCGAATGGTACAGCGTACACACAAATGGTGTAGCGTTACGTCGAATAGCTTTGTAGAAAATCAGATGCTCTAGCTGAACATTAAATTGCTTAACATTATATAAAATATTTCGATGTTGTAGCGAATCGTCGAGCTTGCTTGTGCGTGACGTGAAGGCTATGTCGCCGAAACCACCAAAACTACAAACTGCAAGTGGAACAGCGATCTGCTGGGTGCATGACGTCATCTAATGTAAAAATTGGCGCGAAACTATCACATGGTGTACTCGCTGTGTTGAAGAGTCTTCACTTCGCCTTGTCGTAAAGCAGAGCCAATTCGTAACTTTTCGGTAAGTTTGTCCTCTTTTTTTCCTGCCGATATTGCATTTATTCGTTGTCGTTCATGAAGGTATTAATTGAAATAGCAATGAGACTGAATTCTACCACGGTTTGCCGGCCTCCAGGTTTACCACAATTCAATTAACGCTTTCATGAACGACAACGTTTGTTTCGCGGTTCGGTTGAATACTTATATTATTTAAGCAAATATCTCTTGCGTGACGTAATTACAGCCTCCTTTTCAACGAAATGGGAATAGAGAAACCTCAAATCAAAAACCCCGAAAGCGTTGACTATCCAGCCAAGTCATTTTGCCTTTACTTGAACGATGCGACAATTTCAGGATTGTAGCCCTCTTCTTCAAAACAGCAACATGGAAGGTAAGAGGATATCATGTTAAATAAGCTGTGGATTGGACGTAAAATGCCAAACAATTGAGTTTGCGCGTGAATGTGTACATTTTCGGCTAACTGATGGTACTGTCGAATCGGTGCATTTTAGCCAACTTTAAAATTTGATTAAGTCGCGCTGAATCGTTTCCCCTAAGAATCCTTTGGAGATCGAAAAGAACTACACTTCATTTTGCAAAAGCCAGATTTTCAGTCAATTACTTTGTGTAGCACATAGTTAAATAACGGGTAACTTTTGACCTATTTTTGAACTAGTCTGAAGTAGGTTAGATTAGGGTATGTATCTCGCACCAATCATATCACAGCATTTAGTTACTTTGGACTAATCACAGCGTTTAGGGAATGAATCTCGCACCAATCAGATTGCCGCACTCGGGTATGTACCTCGCACCAATCATATTGCCGCATAAAGGCATGTATCTCCACCAATCACATTGCCGCTAAGGGTTTGTATCTCGCACTAATCAGATTGCCGCATTAGGGTATGTGTCTCGCACCAATCATATCACAGCATTTGGATTTCTTGTACAAACCACAGCGTTTGGGCTTTCTTGCAAATGATGTTATGAAATCAAGGGGCAGTGCACAAAGAGTGATATTAACCAGAAACTTCGCGCTCATTTGAAAAGTGAAATGGTTGGTGGCCTTCACGAGAACTTCGTCGACCAGGGTCGAAACTTATCGGAATATGAGAGATCCGCATTTAACTTTTGTATCATTTCTAAGTTAAAAAGTGTTTTTCCGCTCCTTTACTCACAACGCACAAGCCAAACAACTTACATTCCGTCACCTACCATGAAAACAACGTCCAAAGTCTGATCAGATTTTGTAAAATTTAATCATCCGTTATTGCATTTTTGCAAATGCAGGCGTCAGACGAACAAGGCGGCAATAGAGGTCTTCTCAAAGCCGAGTTAGAAAACGTATTTGGAAAACCCCAACCGAAAGTGGCGGGTAGTCATCGAGAAGTGGTCGGTAATAAAAAGAACGACGTCGTCGATCTTCATCGTACATATTGTTTATCACTATCCACGGCGGTCATTTTCTATGATCTTTACACCAGAAAAAGAAAACGTCGTTTAAATTAATGAAAACTGCATTCTTAATATTTAGTTCGCTTTCTTGAATAGAGACATGTTTTTCTATTGACGCAAAAGCTACATGCCAAAAATCAATAAGTTGGAGGACTTGATAAATTAACTAAAACCGTACTCTCCGGTTGTTTTTTTAATTATCCTCTCTCGGAGCAAGCCATCATCGGTAGTTAAGGTCAAGTAACTCTAAAACCATCCTGACATTGGTTCTGTATTTTTACTTTTGATAGAAAATTTGCAGACCATCGTCGCAGACTGATAAGGAAAACAAAACATCGACCAACGTCCAATCCTATTAAGCAGCTGTTGTCACGCGAGGACGTAAAAAGTGAGCTGTAAGGTGTGGATTGGAGTCTAAGAATGTCAGTATCTACGTTCCCTTTGTCTAAATTAGAATACAGACACGCCACGTCTGTCTGTGTCTCACCAGCGGTCAGAATTCATTCTCATCGAGTACTAAGTGGCTTAAAAGGGTGAATGAAGTGGTTGACTTTATCTGGTAAATTGCTCATTTCCTTCCTCTTTCAAGGTTACATTCAGGAAATATAAGTATAGTTTACGTTTAAAAAATATTGTGGCATGAAAAAGAGAGGTACTACTTCAAAAACGAGTGCGAGGGTTTCATCAAGGTTTCCAAACACGAGAAAACTGATGAAAGCACAAGGCCGCAGGCCAAGTGCTTTTATTGTTTCCGAGTGTTTGGAAACCCTAATGAAACCTAATGCACGTGTTTTTTAAATAGCTTCTCAATCGCGCCTCAGGAATAAAGGAAAATGGAAATATTCACGAGTTGTTCACATGTTGTCATTAAAATTAAGAAATGTGTTCGCTACAGTTTGATGCTTTATCCCACTCAAGGGTTTGATAACATATGAAACTCATGGATAACGTGTCATTGCAGTGTTTCACCAGGGTTTCAAACAACATGCACGTGACGAAATTGGCGTGTCTCGGCGAAAACTTTCTATTTCAGTGATGTCAAGTGAATATATTCTCTTGGTGATATTTAACACAATTCGTTAATATTGCCGTTACACTGATTCTAATTGATACATAATTTGTATCGAATATCGGCCTTCTAATTCTTGTATAGTGCTTTATCGAATGTAAGCCCTCAGTACAACTGTTATGAGAAACTGATGTAAACATTTTTTCTGTCAAACTATTTATATGTTGTTTCCAAATAAAACTGGAAATGAGATGTGAGGCACTCGTTTGTTTTCATCCAAGTTTGGCTCGTGGTATTGTATACTAATAGGCTGCTGTTTCCCATCATCCCGAGTGACACTTACCATTTCTCAAAATGCAAGCTATTCTTACTTGGACTTGCATAAGTTCACCTTTATACGCTAAGAAAAAGAGAGATTGATTCATTATCTTCTGTAGACTTGCATAACATTTAACGGCTTACATATTTTCTGCGTAAAAGTTTTCACAAGCGAAATGGCGTAAGCGAAACCTTGAAAGAACAGTTTTTGGGCCTGTGTTGGTGGCGTTTAGCGACAGATGTTCTGTTGAAAGCTTCACCTCTACTTCCGATACTTGAAACCTGACGCACTTAGCACAGCGGTTTTCTCTTTGCATTATGTGCGAAGTGAAGCTACTACTTCGAGGCTGCCACAATCTATATCACATCCAAAGGTAATGGCCTTGGCAGCCGTCCTGTTTGCTGCCGCTTATTTGATGCGGCGCAAACGACGTAGTCGGCACCAAAGCATTGCGAACAACTCGACAATTGACATCCTTCCCGCTTATGCTTTCATTTAAAGAGAATTTAAACTCAATGGTCGCCACAACGGTGAGGACAAAAACGAATTGCTGATTCTACATTTCTTTCCAAAAAATCTTAAAAAGTGTTTATTTGTATTGAAAAAAATAACATGGAAAGTGAAACAAGTTTGCTGTGCTTTGTTGAGTAATAATTGTTTTTCGGAAACCTTGTTTAATGCGCGTACTTTCAGTTACGACAACGTCGGAATCACAACGAAAGTGATTAGGGGGCGCAAGTTAGGTTTGATTGATCACATCTTCAGAAAACCAAATACTAAGAGCTTGAGCGGGGCGGAACCCAAAGGAAGAGATGAGTCATTGGTGTTTTATGAATAAAACTCGTGAACAACGAGGCAAGCGAAGAAGGCTACGCCTGGAGGCAGCAGAGGTGAAAACCATAGATGAGCACAGTCGGTTATATTTTGATGATTATTTACACAGAAATATTAACAAGTTAAGAAGTGAACAAAAACATGAACAAGTTACGACTAGGAACTACTCTAAAGGTTAGTCTTAAAATGGACAAAGCTATGAAATTCTTGATTGTTAGTTTCCAAAATATACTTTAAAAATTCACCCGAAGTTTCAGATGCGTAAGAAATCTCACCTGAAACGATTGCAGCGATCGTCGAGAGGCGGTTTCTCGGTTACCTGCGATCTTTAAGAGACCAGACTATTGGTTCTAATTGACGTTAAAAAAATAGTTCAATGAAATAGCTATAGAATATAATTCCTATATGACTTTGAAGTAGCTCTTCATTTGAAGTGTCACTGTTCACAAAAACTTGAATGCTCTTTCGACCGTACCCTCTACCACAAATTCATTGAACACACTATTTGCGAACGTTTTACAATTGTTGAACACCCAATCGTAATTAGTCTTTAGCTCTCCCTTGCGATAAAGAAACTCAATCAAATCTTTCATTGTTCCTTTGCAATAACCATGTTTTATTTCGACTACTGGAGCGTATCTGGGGCATCCTTCTTCATAATCTTTAACGACGGTATACTTTACGTTCCTTTGAAGGAGAAGCGTTTCCCCTTCTCTCTCAAGGGACCAATACCAACCAGGTGAATCTACCACGACAAACTGATGGTTCCAAACAAGCTGGGTACGTTGCCATTCACTCAAAGGTCTTTTAAAAAGCCACATTTTTTGTAGTTTCTCGGAGTGGTCAATCCCTTTATGTTCGCTCATTTTCTCTCTGAGGGAGTCATGACTACAGTAATCATATTCTGATCCTGTGTAGAAGACCAGTTTCTCGGTCAAACTTCCACCTTTACCCTTCTTTGTGCCTTTAAATATAGACATTTCACAAAGCCTGCGGATATGAATCGAAAATGAAACACAATTTAAAACTGTACGACATTTAAAAGATTTTTTTATGGTTGGATGATCACCTTAAGACAAAAAAAGGATTCCTACTCAGTTGCCTAAGATAGAGGGTCAAGAGAGACAGAGTGTCGTGAGCTATGTAAAGAAGGGTTAAGTTCAAGCACTTCCCAAAGGAGATGGAAAATGATGGAAACATTGTTCAAACTAAGGACACATTTCGAGGGGTCGCAGATTTGGATTGTGCATACATCCACCTTTAAAACTTTTTGGAGTTGGACTTAAATCTGTGCAGTCCAAATTTTGATATTACTAAACGTGAAATCGAAGGTAGAGAGGTTAACTCAACTAAAAAAAACCATGAAATTCTCATTTGAATAGTACTGATTAAGAAGGCGAACTTGATTAACTAGACTTAATCAGGAGAGCTCAAGGATAATTTTTCAAAGATCTAGAGAGTGATAATTGGTTAATAATTAATCTCCTCATTGGCAGCCAGCACGAGTCAAAAGCATCATGTTTAACTTTAAATAGAAAATCCAAATACCTGTAAGTAGAATCTTACGGAGCGTATTTTATACCAGCAAACTTCGATTTGCTCCAAGCTGTACTAAACGGTTGCCAGCCTGAAAGACAATTTGACGCTCTAATATTCCTAGGAAAGCATAATTTTTACTCGGGCTTTCCAAAGGAAACGCCCGAGTTAAAATTCCGGCTTCCTTTTTTTTTTTTTTCGTTCGGTCGCAAATCGCAGTCAAGTCCTCATCACGCATGCGCAACCTTTTGACTCTGACGCATGCGCGACGCTTTGACTAATGAGCACATGGCATGGTGTAATGGCGGACGAAGAGAAGCTTTCGTGGTTCAAAATCAGCACGGAGACTGTGTATAGTACGCTCAAAACACATACAAAATATGCACTCATCGTTCGCGGTAGACCCACACTAAAAGATGTCGAGCGTTTTCGGAACGGGTCGGTCCGCGAACTTTATGAGAGATCCCTTTAAGAGCATGTCAGTCGATATTTAACATTGTTTTCTTATAACAAACTGATGTGTTCTTGCAAGAATGAGGCTCCATGCATGTAGCAAATTATTGCAACAATAAATTAAGTAGAGAAAAATAAAAAAAGAAGAAAAAAACCTGGCCCTCCAACATATGTTGACCCTAACAAAACAATAGTAGCTCCATATAGTCAAAGTAACGATTTAGTTTTGGGGCAGAATGCTGGACAACGATGTGTTGAAATGAGTTTGTGTTCTTTGATTTACAATAACACACAAGGGATCAGCTCTGCAAATGATCTTATACAAGTAATGAATATTGGACATCAGCTTTTTTCAAGTTTGTTACAATTAGCCAGACAGGCATATTTAATGCAGTCAGAATTACCATCAGCATTAAAAGTGTTTGATACTGATTATCAACTGGAATACAGTGAAAGCAAATCTGGAACTATTCACCAAGAAATTGCTGTTACAAGATCTGATAAATGTCGTAAACACATCAAGATGTAAGTAACTAGCGAAATCACGACTTCTTTAAGACCTGTGCGGGAGTCAGAATCCTTTTTTTTCAAAATCATCCATGCCATAGTTTGGAGACAATTGACAAGAAGAACTGATCAAAAATATAATTCTTGCGAGTATAGTGGTAAAGGCAATGATTAGGATGATGACGTCCCATTTAAGGAATGGTTCATTCATGCCCCTGAGACAGGGGCATTCTTCATTCTGGATGGCACGTTCCTTTCAGGGGACAGCAAGTTTTTGTCACGGGCAACACAGTTCAACAAAGACAATCATGCACAGATTGATGATTAAAGTGGTTGCGACTTCGAAAGTTTCCATTTTAACAAGCATTAGTTTTGTCACTTGAACCTGTTTAACAGAGATGAGAATTAATTATGTTGCCGCTAAAAGCAAGCTACGTCTTGCAAGCGCGGCTGTCTTGAAATTGCAGTTTTATTGTTTTGGTGTAACCGTTGCATCTATGGACATAATTGCCTGCTTTCAGGTCATCTGTTTCGTATTAAATCTTCGGATTAAGGGAATATAATCTTCCGCTTTTCAAGGTTTCAAATGTTTTCGGACAACAATATTCGTAATTTGCATCTTCACACAGAAACCCATCCCTGCATAAGAAAAGTTTTCAAAATAATTGCGAGTGCGCTACCTGTACTCGCTTGAATGTACATTTACAGGCGTGACGTAACATACCGAGCTAATCCTTGGAATGTTTCTTCATATGAACCAATTGTAGAAATAGATATTCGATCCCTCAGTGTTTTTACTATAACGTAATGGGCCGATTGTATGTTTAATTCTCTCATGGAAATAATAAGATTAGTTTATGATCACAGACGGCTTGGATCTTACGTCTTCATCGGCCGGATTCGTCGGAGTTAGTCCCGATTTCAATACGAATCATGAGCTAAATAGTCTTTCAAAGGCTTCTCTTAACCTTCAAAAGGAAAAGTTTGTGCACAGGAGATATCTTACATACGAAAGGAACCCGTTTATGGAGCGAGTCGCCATGCGTGCATCACACTGCATGTTTAAAATTTTGGCCATTCACCAGAAATTTTTTTCCACGACTATCGGTTAAAATCTGGCAATTTTTACGCTTAACGACCAAATGTTTTGGCTGTTTTATGGCGATCGAGTGCTCATTAAGGATAACGCAGTTTATTCCTTTTCTAGTTCAAACGGTCTATATCTGAACTTGGTTGTACCTTTCAATTCGTGTCTGCTCTATGCGTGTTATTTCAATCTTCAAACGTATGATGGAACTCTAAGTATTTGCCTTCATTCACGAACCACATGAACCACGTACTAAAATCACACAACGGCATACGTAGTTACACAAACACGGACCATTAACCACTTAATGATACAAACTATGCTATTAAAGGCACACTTTATAACCAAAAGAATTGAATTATGTGTTAGTACCTTGCTGAAGTCTGATTATAGAAACAGATGGATTTGATATCGTGATATCTGTAAAATTCTGTGACCCACTCGACTCATTCCTCGGTAACTAGCGACGGCGAGAGCTCGATAATATCCGCCTGACTTGATCTTGACTTCAAGGAAAATCCTACGAAGTAGTTCAAATTGTCAAATTAGAAAGAATATGATATATACCACATAATGACTAATACAGCACGAGGACATAAAGGTACCTAACGCTGAAGATAAAAGTTAGATGGTCAAACGTCAATCAAGGATTTCCGCATTTGAAACTGTATGCAAATTATCCCGCTAGCATTAAGAGCCTTTGCGCATGACATTAAACTTCCAATCTCGTGCCAGTGAGGTTGCAAGACCTGGGAATGTCATGGAAAACAGATTGGAGGCATTTTGTTGGAGAATGGTAAATGTAATCTGGAAGGAAAATACAGAATTGTGAGTTAGATACTGAAATGAATAACCCATACGAGGGAGGGGGGAGCGGCGGTAGCTGTGACGGCTGACGGTTCTTATATTTCGATTTTTTGTTGATGGTTAATTTTTAAGGTTTGACGGTTTACAGTCAAATTTCAGGGCCTTTGGTGGTTATTAGGAAAATATATTTCTATGAGTCATCTTAAATATAAAGGTGTTCTGTCTTTTTACAGTATATGAATAATGACTGTTACGGCTGTATATCTTACGCATTTTTACGATTTTCTTCTATTGGATGTTACGTCAGTATCTCGCACACTTTTAGGATTCTCTTTCACCGGATTATTACGTAAATAACTAAAGCACTCTTGGAACTCTCTTTCATTGGATTACTACTTTAATATTTTGGGCTTTTTTTTACGACTTTCTTTCACTGGATTGTTACAATGATATTCCAAGCACTTTTAAGACTCTCATTGAATTCAAGGTATCTATCTCGTGCCCCATTAGGATTCTACATTACATCGGACTGTTACATCTGACTCAGTACCTCACACACTTTTAGAATTCCCTTTTATTAGATTGTTATGCTGATATCTCGCGGGCTTTCAGGACTCTCTCTCATTGGATGGTTACGCTAGTATCTTGCGTATTTTTAGAATTCTCTTTCATTTGATTGTTACGTATTTATCTCGCAAACTTTTGATATTCTCACTCTCTGAATTGTCTCGTTAGCCTGTTAGTATCTCGTGCATTTTTTTAGGATTCTCTTTCATTCGAGTTACGTTAGTATCCCACACACTTTTAGGATTCTCTTTCATGCGATTGTTACTTTGGTATCTCACGCACTTTTGGGATTCTCTTTCATTGGGTTGTTTCGTTAGTACCTTACTCACTTTTAGGATTTTCTTTTATTGGGTTGTTACATTAGCACCTCAATCACTTTTAGGATTCTCTTTTACAGGATTATGTACATACCTGACGCACTTTTGGGATTCTCTTTCATTGGATCGTTACGTTAGTATATCACGCACTTTTAGGATTCTCTTTTATTGGATTGTTACCTAAACACCACAACAGACAGAGGCTTGTTTTGGGACCAGACAGTTTATTAAATGTATATGTCCTACGTAAATAACACACTAGCGGTAATACTAAAGTAATTTCGCAATTAAAACGCGTTAGCGTAGTGAATAGCCATTGGCTCTACCCATGTCTTATGACTTATATGCTGAATAAATTGCTCAATCTTAAAGAAAAGAGAAAATACTTATTTGCACCCTGTGTGTACCCAGTCCAGGCCCCTCAGTTATCGAAGTCTAAATTCATATTAATAGAGATTAATATTCACGTTAGTATCTCACGTTAGCACTTTTAGGATTCTCTTTCATAGGATTGTTACATTTGTATCTGGCGCACGTTTAGCATTCTCTTTCACTCGATTGGAACATTAGTCCTTCGCCTACTTTTAGCATACTTAACATAGATCAAAGACAAAAACGTCTTGGATCTCGAGGGAATCATTAGGATGATGGCAAAAACTGCCAATGAGGAATTTCACGACAACTTTCAAGACACCTGAGTAAGGGTGAGCTCAGTTGAGACTTTATCAAAAGGCAGGAATGGTGCGTAGAGGCGTGTACAAAGACAAGTTATAACGTTACGTAACGTTTTTTACTCAACGTCACACTCTTGAGAAAAAAAAAATATTTATTCAAACTGCCTGCTAGAGGCGAAAATCAGTGAAAATAAAGATAGACTTAGCATTTTTTTGTAAGACCAGTTTCCCATTCTAAAGTTTCTAAAACTATTGTTAGCAAGCGGCTTAAATAGAGATGTTCATTAAATTGTTTGATGGTTGTTATTGATTTGAGTTTTTGACGGTTGGTGGTAAAAATAGATGCTTTTGACGGTTTTCATCAATCAATTTCCCTTTAAGATCAAATCATTTTTAACCTTTGTGAGTTTTTCTCCGTATCTTCCGAGGCCAATAAAAACAGGTGAGTAATATATGAATCATATCAAGTATTGTAAATAACAACAAAAATAATGGTAATGATAAAGATAGTATCCATTTTAAAATAGGAGTCTGGAGTCTACCCTTTTGATCAAGGTGACATTGGTCACTAGACAGAAAACTCCCGATCTTGGTGAAACTGAAATGAGTCCCATTTTCAGCTCTAAGCTTTCCTACACTTGCTTCCAATCATTTCTCAAATTAAATGGTCTCTTATAGAGCGTTGATTTCTCTCAGCCCCCTATGATCCTTCTTATTAGAAGAAAGCGGAGAGAAATAACTCCTAGACTGCTTTAAAGGCTTAGAAAGTAGAGCAGTATCTAAACTTTATGGAGATAAAGGGTTTGAATTATTCTTTCAGCTTCCTTAATTAAGAAAAGTATTATTTAATTGTTATTAAATCCAAATCGGTAGTTGCTCGATTGATTACTAACAGGAGGAGGGCGAAAGGAAGATGAAATTATAAAATGCTGCTTAAAATGTCATTCTAAAAGTTATGACCCGAGTTCTCTCAGACTGTTTAATCAAGTAAGTGTTTTTTATGTGGTTAGTTTGTTTCAAGTAAGCATCATGAGGAAGTTTTAAAGTGAAATGTACCTCGTAGTCGGGCTGTATTAATCGTAGCCTTTGTATGGCATTTATTTTTCTCTAATTCAGTAAAGTTGTTTTCACCATTTTATTTTTTTTTTTCCGAAGGTAAGCTTCTTGACTTGTTATTTTCCCTACCCTCTTAACCGTACTGCGTTAATATTATAAGAAGAAATTAAACGCTATTCACTCTCGTTTGTGTATAGTTATTTATTGCGATCTTTGCTCGAAAACGTTAACATTTTGTTTAAGTTTCGCTTTAAATTTTGATAAATTAACCCTAACGTAACTAAGAAATCTACGAAAGGATCGGTTCGCTGTGAAGTAGTCTAAAGCTTCTTGTGAGATGCTTATGCAACTTGCTCTGATGACGCAAACTAGATTACGTATAGACCAAATCTTGCAAAAATTTTGAATGTGTATAGATTGAAACGTTTTAACTGACACTAAGTTTACTTTTTATATTTATATGTGCTCTTTAAATTTTCTGACTAAAGATGAAGCTCTAAGTCTTGTTAAATTGAGGCCCACGATATATTTCTCTCAATTTTAAAACTTAAACTTTCTGTAGCTGAACTGCAGACAGCCTTGACAGATTTCGTAAAAATTCAGTAAATGCAGGCGTCGAACGAACCAGATAGCAAAAAAGGTCTTCTCAAAGCCGAGTTGGAAAGCATATTTGAAAAACCCTTACCAAAAGTGGCGGGTAGTTATCGAGTAGTGGTTAGCAATAAAGAGAACGACGTCGCTGATCTTCATCTTACATATTGTTTATCAGTATCCACGGCGATCATTTTCTATGATCTCTAGGCCTCCCAGAAAAGCGTCGTTGAAATTGGTAAAATTCTTAATGTTTGATTGCTTAAAAAGGTACTCTCCAGTTTTTTTTTGACATAATGCTTTCAGCTCACATATCGAAATTGTCTACAGTAGTTGCAACGACGCTCTTTTACTTTCTTCAAACAAGCAGAAAAGACGCCATTCCTCCGGGGACATTAAAGAAAGTTATCGAGCAAGCACACGGTGAGAAAAAAAATAATTTTATTTTCATTAACGAGCAAGTCTCAATCTAGTTCTGCGCATTATAGTGAGGCGTACCAATATAAGCGATTACAGGTGAAAAAATAGAGAACGACGTGGAAATTAAAGCCGGGCATTCGTTTTAAGGGTTCAACTTACGTCCGTATATGTGCAGTTTCACTTCTAAGTGGTATGTGTATGACTTCTACTCTGAGCAAGCAAGAAAGGATTAATTATACTCTCTTGGACCAAGCCATCATCGGAGTTAAGACCAAGTAAGCCTAAAACCGTCCGGAATTAGTTTCCACGGCGCAAATATAGTTAGCATGCTTATTGCGTGACAAATTAGATTTGATGCACCAGCGTGGGAAACTGAAGGCCAGGAAAAAAGCTATGCCAATATTTGCGCATAGAGTGACAGCTTGTAGATAATTTGCTTTACATGTAAAATGAAAATCTTTCAGGTTATACTCGATGAACTGAAACGAAAATCAGGATAGTTTCATTACTCATCATGAATGGTCACGTACAATGCGCGCCGTGAGCCTTTCGAAAGTAAGTCAGTCCCGGAAGTCAGTAAACCACACGTCCCAAAAGTCAACAAACCATAGCAGTTTCGAAATGTTGACACTGGTCTCAGGTGTTTCTTAATATCTTCTTCAAACAAAAAGAACCTAAATTTGTTTCGAGTGTAATTCGTCATGGCATCTTGCTGCTTTTTGTCGTTATTTAAGCTAACATCGCCATGCGGATCAAGCTCAAAAAATCTAGAAGATTTGCAGGGTGTTTCTCTTAACGAATATAATAAGGAGGTTTACTCACATAAAATCGGACCGGATGAAGCAATTTGTGACGAAATGGCGTTGTTGCTAGCAAGAGCAGGCACAGTTTCTCGTTTAAATGATTGAACACTTTCTTGTAGTTTTATTTTGTACTAAAATAAATTCTGATTGGTTTATGGGACTTAAATTTTAGGAATATGTACAGCTGAAAGTTCCCATTTGTCATCTACTGTATGTTCTCACCATCGAGAAAAGTACGGCCTTCGCTTGAGAAGTGGAAAGGTGAGATGCTCTGTTCCAGGTAAGGTGGCAGGACATAAATCTTCAACGGTGAAGGGAGATCGCAGTATGAAGAGTAAAGAATCTTCTTTTATTGCGATACAGTGGGGGAGCTTTATCCTATTGGAACCCGTAAGTAATTTAAAGTTTGCTGAAGTTAGTGCCGTTACACGTACAGTTAAATGCGATCGGATACTTCTATGAGCGTGTCATGCATTGAAACGCAACCACATGTTTCCAAGGAGACGAGTCATTGCAACTGAGTGAGCGCACATACAAGTTCGATAATAGATCCCGAGCAGTCCTTCATTTCTCTCAGATCGAGCAAGTGGGTGGAAATCAGCTCCCGCGAGAACACGCGTGTTCTCACGGGGCTGATTTCCACGCGCGTGAAGCGTGCTCGCCCGCTGAATCTGAGAAAAAATGAAGGAGTGCTTGTAGTTTACTCTTACAATTATTGTTTATTATAATTGTCAGAAGCTTACCTTTATCCCACATGGGTAATAGGGCGGGCGTTATCTAGTTATAGTATGAAGAACATATAGCGAAAAACATATAGCAAACAAACAAACAGAAAATTATTTGAGTCATGCTACGCATGTTACGTACCCTTAGTATCTCTGTTGTCTCTTAAAAACTTTGATAATTTAGAAGCTAAATTCGTTCAACCAATTAATCAATTGGAATTGCGCAATATTAATTTCATTGAGTTTTCTTGCCTTTAGCAATTTGTAAGCGATGCAGGGACCATTTGCAAGAACTAGTTTTAAAACACGCTCCACCAATTAGCCAAGCAAGCATCTCCCCAGACGTCTCCGCTTCATACCAACTGCCTCAAGAGGAAGAAACATCTCAAGATAAAGAGAGTTCAGAAAGCAGTGAACATGAAGCAATGCAGATACGTTTCGTTAAAGGGAAAGCCGGAAAAATGTTAGTAATAAAGTTTAACTTTTATATCTCCATCATTGCGTTCGGTGAGTGATAAGGTGATTGCTTCTTTCTTCACGGTGTGTGTTTATAAGTACCTAGGAATTGTGTAGAAGCCAGCAAAAAATTATTGCAGTGCTCTCTTGCGCGCTATTGTGTATTTTAAATGTGAACTTAGCGCCGATAGCGTACAAGACCCAGTCGTGAATGGGGTGGGGGGGAGGCGTTTTTATTTTTTTTGGTGTGTAAACCCAAAAATATTTTGCCGGTATTCCTTTCTTTTGCGAAAAAATTGTATTTTACCAAAAATAAGGAGGGGGGGCCTCCCCTTGATCTGCCACTGAGACAGGCCACTATACTCTTAACTACCGGTCATAAAGTACAACCATTTATTGTGCAGCTTGCATGCATAAGATACAACTGATAATCGAAATTGACTTACCACCTTTGACGATGGACAAACAACACCGCTTCTAAAATTACGTATGTTAGACCTACAGGTTTTTCGATACGTGTCTATATAGCACAAAGCGTTTTTAGTTTGGAATACTTAGCGGGTCACGGACGCTAGGTAACTTGGCATTACGCGCATCCTGCAAGTTATCACACATTTTCTCTTTTAATTTCTCAAAGGAGAGTGAAAAATGTACAGCATCAGAAGAATTAGCCGGGAGAATGGAATGTCTTCAGATTGAAGATCGAAGTTTCGTCCAATCACTAGAGACAACGAGCACCACATTTTCTTCTGTGGAAAATGTAATGTCTGATTTTGAGCTTCAACGTTCAAAACTGAATGCTTTTCTTGAGGAGTGCCAAATCCAAGCACTTGGAAGCCCTTGGCTAGAGTAGGCCCAGGCCAGTCAAAGAACACGTCAAAGAGACGTGCAAAGAACCTCGGAGATAATTTCTTCTGTCCTCGAAGTGGTTTATCCCGATGACCCTGGTTATCTGTGGACTGAACTGCAAACTTCTAAAACAGTTAGTAAAATATTGGGTGATGAAACAGTGTGGCCCCCATCTGATAGAAGTTATCTTGCGACTCTGGCAGAAGCATACAATGTAAAGGCATGGGATACAAGAAAACAGGTTTCGTCTATTATGGTAGGCATCGCCAGCTACAAAGCACTATTGGCCTTCATTCCTGGGTTGACGCCATACCGTTATACCCAGGCCGGCTTGCTTCGCCTCCAGCACGGTAGAACAGTCCCTGCGCCAAAAAAAGAGGCCCCCCGATTACGGATTGATAGGCAGCATCTAGACCACTTTTTAAGTTTCACCACGAGCCCTCATTTAGTGCAGGATCTCCCATTAAGTACAAAGAATCTTAAACTATCAAATGGTCAGAGCATTGCGGTTCCTAACTTAATACGAACCTTGATTCCAAAGCGAATCTTTAGGCAATACAAACAGTACTGCTCGGAAACTAATTTTTCACCATTCAGCGAGAGGACAATGACGAGGATCCTTTCAGAGTGTAGTGCCTCCCTACGCAAGTCCCTTCAAGGCCTCGATTACTTTGCTGCAGAGGGGGCACGAGCTTTTAACGATTTGTCCGCTGTTCTAGAACAAGCTTTGGAGAATGGAGCAAGAAAAGAGAGAGTACAAGGTCTACAGGAGGCGCTGAAGGCGGGAAAGCTATATCTCAAGGGTGACTTTAAAGTAATACATTTTTTCCTATACTTGAAAACACTTGAGAGTACCTCGATTTGTTTGTTTCTCCATCCTCTTTTGGGATTTTTTGGGAGTGCATTATGTCCAAGTAGGAGAAAAGAAGACTGAATTTCAGAGAACAATTTCGCACTCTAGCACATTATTTTTCAATTGCAATAGCAAGAAGTGTTCAAACTTGATTCTTCGTTCGTTCTGGTTTAACTAGCCTGCATGGTGGGCGTAGAAAGGGGAGCCGAGAAGAGAGTTTGTACGCGTTAAGTTGCGTTCGCCTCAAATAAGACAATTAACCGAGCACAAGTCAATCGAATATTGTTAAATTTTGTCGCCCATAAGCGAGTCTTTTGAGGCAAACAGCTTTACGGTTAATTTTGGGACTGTACTTGTTTTGTTAAAATTTCAATCTTTTGCCCGCTATATTTGTTTGACTTTAGCTCGAAGTAATGATTTCCAGAACATTATGTACACTAACTGGAGGATGTTCACATGCATGGGTGCACCGCGCGTCCATAAAACTCAAAATGGAAATTTAGTCTTGCACTTGCTTATGAAATTGAAGTACGTGGTTCTCCGTTGCATATGTTTTGTTTATCAGTAGAGGGCATATGCCACGAAAGATTTAAAATCGTATCTCATCAAAGGTCACTGACACATGAAATACGAAGGAATATCCCTTGCAATATTTAAGATATGAGTGTATATAAGGCTATACCCCACAAACCTTTGCTAAAACTGTCTATTTACCCCATTATTACCAGGTTCATATCACTGATAGCTCTCCTGTCGCAGAACACTGCAGTACGTTTTCACTGAGTGATTCATCAGACGCAGACCTGAAGCAGTCATGTAGTCACATTCATGACCAAAAGTGTGATCAATGCACAAGTTTAGCATCTGCACTAAGCGATATAGAGAAACTGTTGCGAGAAATTTCATTCAACCGTGAAGACAACCGAGACGAGGCTTTCTTTATCTACAAAAGTGCTAACCTGGCTATCCACGCGTGGAAGTGCCACTTGTTAAGAAATGTCAAGCAAGATAAGGCACGCCTTGACTCCCTGTACCGTCTTGATGAACACACCGTGCTGTTGGTAAATGATTGGGCCATGAAATCTATCCCACAAAAATACCGAGAATCCCAGTCTTATTGGTTCGGTAAACGGGGAATTTCATGGCACATATCTGTTGCATACCGCAAAGTTGACGGATAGCTTCAAGCACAGAGCTTCATCACCATAACCCAGTCGTGTAGCCAGGGATGTGCAGCAGTAGTCGTCATCTTACAGCACGTCGTTCATATGCTAAAGACCGAGCATCCAGAGATAGAGAAAGTCTACTTACGTCAAGAAAATGCTGGGTGCTACCATTCGGCAAGCACAGTTTTAGCATGTCCCAGCATTGAAGCTTCAACAGGAGTGAAGGTAGAAGGCCTGGACTTCAGTGACCCTCAGGTAGGTAAAGGTGCTGCGGATAGAACGGGAGCAACGGCCAAAACCCGCATCCGGATGTACGTCAACGAGGGAAACGATGTCACGAATGCACATCAAATGAAAGATGCGCTCCTCTCACACGGCGGCGTCAAAGGGGTCAGAGTGGCTGTTGCAGATTCTCTAGAAGAATCCGTAAGAGGCGAGCTGCCCAAGATAGCAGGCAAAAGCAAGCTAAATAACTTTCGCTGTACCAGTGGAAAGCTCATCGCCTGGAGAGCTTATGCTGTTGGAAGAGGAAAGCTGCTCGACGTAGCAATGAATTCAGGTAAGAACTGAAAGACCGTGAATGTATTATTATAGTTATATTGTGCCCATCCCAAGCAATTAGCTATTCATTTTACATGAAGCTCTAGTTTAGTTTTGTAACATTGTATTTTACCACTGTGGAAACACTGCCATGACACTCTTCCGGATAGCGAACTTTACTTGTGAGTCGATTGTATCCTTTTAGTTTATAACATTACGTAAGGTGAGCACATCTGTACACGCGCGTTTATGCCCAGGGTATTTTTTGTGTTTTGATACAAACCATTTTAGTTGACAAAATCGATGTAACATGTGCATTTCCGCTATATTTTTTATCCAACATGTAATGAAATGTTAAATAGAGGTATAACAACCTAGATAACAGGCCTCAGTTGTTACGCAAAAGGGGAATAGTGCTATTCACTGGACAAATGCTTGTCCAGTGAATCACGATTTTTATTAACGTTTATTCACTAGATAGTAATTTATCAGGAAAATAGCGTTATCCACATATGAATGTAATAATTGCTTTATCATCAAATCTCTTTCGTCTTAGATCATGGATATAAATGGATGGAAGGCTCTTTCTCTGCTGGAGATTTTAAGTATACAAGGGCATCTAGAGAAAAGCCGGCTGAAAAGGAGAAGGAATCTGAAGAGGCTGCTGTGGAAAGAGGGGCTTTTCCAAGTCCACAGGATGGATGCACTAGGGTCTTTCAACGGATTTCAAGCCATGAACGACATCTCTCGTTTGAAAAATGTACCACATCACTCGAAAGACTTTCCTTGTTAGACCTGGCTAAAACGGAGTACGACTGTCTCCTCCGCGAAGGCATGGCAAGCATGCTAACCTTGCTGTTGTCTACATCAACACTTGTCACTATCTCAAGTACTGCGCAAGAGGGCTGGGCCTTGAAGGAATCTAAAAAGCCCTATCGTTTTAACGAAAAGCAAAAAAGCTACCTTGAGGCCGAAGTTTAATCTCGATCGTTGTCTTTTTATTTGCTAGACATAAGTCGAGAAGCATTGGCCGCAAACCGTTTTACTGATTTAAAATTGGCATCAAAGGACAGCTGGCAAAACAATGAGTACGCTGATCAATTACTCTCCATATATCACTGGCTCAGACTCTTAAGTACTATAAATTTTGGAAAAATTCGATAACATTATACTTGTGTGATCAGTGATGGACTAAACAAGTCATAAACCAATTACAAACTTGGACAAGGGAATCCGCTGACCTACGTGACGGACAAATTTTTTGTCTTTCCATGCCTGCATAGACCATGTTAGCACGCACATTTTGTTTACCAATTTGTACCTCGTGACAGCACTCTAGAGAGTTGTTACTTTCAAATTCTCGAATATCTGCCTGAGTATATGAATATGGACAAAATCATTTTTCTCCCCAAGAGAACATAACTGGGACAATTATGTTCTCTTGATCTCGAAATGCATGCAACAAATCCGAAAAACGAATAAGATATTGCATGTGTCTGCATCGAATCATATACTCAGTGACTTACATTAAACAGGTGTAAACAGGTCTTCTTAGCGCATACTAGTTGCTCGATTACGTTTTATATAAGGCCGGAAACAGTCACACGAGTGAGACATGATGAACATTAAAAATGGTTGTTTATGTTGAAGGCTGGAAATGATGTCTCGGTCCCCAAAAACCCACGCAAAAATTTGTGCCCTTGCTTTCTCTGAGATGTGAGTACAAATAATCGTGTGAGCCGTTTTTTAACGGTACACTAATTGATTTAAAGAATTTTAAAAAAATGAAAGAAAGAAAAAGGAAACAAGGTTTGCTCGACGCACTGATCTCCTTAACGATCAGACATTAGATAAAACAGCATGACCTGACTCTGAAACGGACTTTTCTTCTACTGAATCAGCACCGTGAGATTGACATGCACGTAAAGAGTATAACTTTTCAGTCTCAAAATAACTGGCAGTAACACATAGATTTACCCAGCAACGTTGAATTGATTGGTTGAAATGTGTAAGATCCAAGTGTAACATTTTTTCTATTATTCGTTCTTGCGTAATTTGTTTTTCCTTTGCGTACGCAAATTAGTTTATACTTCTTTTCGTCCATTTGTTTAGTCTTTTTTTTGGCGTTAATTTAAGTGTTTATTCCTTTCTGTCGGTTTTCGCGCCCTCGTTAGCGTTTCTGTGCTGTTTCATCTTCATTAGCGCCTTTCTAAGTTTCTATAGTTTTATTTTCCGCATGTTCTAGCGTATTTTTCATATCGTAGTTTTGCATTACAGTTTTGGGCAGTTCATTTTGGTCCGCGCTTAGCGCAGTTCTGTTTAGTTTCTTGCAAGTCTCTTCGCGTTATTCGCAGCCCGCTTTACAGCAGTTTTCTCTGGCCGAAACAATGTAAGTGTACTTCACAGTCCTCGTTTTGCAGTTTTGTTATTTCCTTACTCTAATTTACCTTAGTCGCAACTTGTAACTTTTTGCTTTTTTACCGTTTTAGTTTCAACCCACGCTGTTTGTATGCACACTCTTAGTACCAAGCACGTCGGCTACAATAAATCTTCATTCGAACTTGGTTTGTGGTGTTGTTATTAAAGGCCAGGAGACTTACACGCTTATTGCAGTTTCAAAATGAGTGTGGAAATATTCTTGAGTGCGGATCCGACTGATAAACATTTCACGAGCCAGTGAAAATCATCAAAGGTTAACGAAGAAGGAATTTGAAAGGACGAAAGGATCTGGTGCAGGGATGTTGGCTTGCTTACTGAGGGACAACTTTTTAGGAGTAAGTCGAGCTAAAATACAAACTATTCTAAACATGGACAAAACTCATTATCGCCGAAATGCTAAGCTTCTTAATAAGGCGAAGCTGAAACCTATCAGAGCCACAGACGTTCATGTTAGGCACCAAATAGATTTGATAGATATGAGCAAAAAGGATCTGTGAAGATAAATGGACATTTGTACAGACACGTTCTAACAGTGATTGATGCTTTCAGCCGTTTCCTTTGGCTTCGTCCTTTGGAAAGCAAATCAAGTCAGGTTATTGCAAGTGAATTGGAATCTATTTATATGGAGCATGGATCGCCAGAAATAATCCAGCGCGACCAAGGAGGGGAGTTCAAGAAAGCCTTGAAATTACTTTGCGATCGCATGAATATAAAATTGATTTACAGTCGACCTAAGACCTAAGATGGAATATGACCTTCAAAAATAGGTCAAGACGGTATAAACTTGGCAAAACAGCTCCCTATTTATCAAAGAATTCTAAATAACGACCCTAAAGAAGTGATAGCTTACAAAACACCATTCGAAATATACATTGCACGAAAGTGCACCGCCTTCAGAGAGAGCAGATCGCAATACGAAATCCTTCTTAGTGCTGGGAGGGTTCGCCCGACTAAGAGTGACGGTAATCGGCGTTCCCGGCAAGCTTTGAAATTACGAAAGCAAGCTAAAAAAGCCACGAGTAGATGTGACAAGCGGATGCAGCGAACACAACTTCGCTTAAATCCGCCCTCGGATTATAGCATCGGAGAAAAGTGTATATACGTTTGAGAGGGAAGCCATCGAATAAACGGCATGTGACGGAGGGTCGTATCGAGAAACGAAAGATCAAGTTGCATAACTATAAGGTTTCATACGCCTCACCACTTACAGGAAAGAAAGAAAGGAAATGGGTCTCTGTAGACGATGTCACAAGCCTAACACTAGAGCAAGAAAAACGGAAACAAAAATGCGCCAAGCTGTCTAAAAAGAAAAAAATTTACTACTACAAAAAGTACTACATACCTATGAGAAGAGATGATTATGCAAAGGCTATCGAAGATCAGGGTTTTAAATTGGTTTACAATCCTCCTGGAGATGGCAATTGCCAATTTGCTGCATTATCGCACCAGACAAAGAGACTAGGCATTTTGAGATCTCCTGAAACGATGCGGAAAGAAATAGTAGAGTACTTAAAAAGTAGTCTGTACAAGAGCGATGGCTTCCCACTTTTGGAGCATTTGGCAGATGATGAGTTCGCTTGCTGGGACGACTATATAACTCATATGGCGCGAGATGGGACCTATGGGGATCAGATTACGCCGTATGCGCAGCAGCAAACTTGTGTAACATCGACATCCAAATAATTTCCTCTCTAGGAGTTGGCGGGCAGCATGTGTTCAGTCCGTTAGCAAGTGTTTCAGCAGCTACCGTGTACCTTGGACATTTTGCTGAGAACCAAGGCGAACAGTACGTGAGCTTGGAACAAGTTGCGGATCACAACGACGCCAGTGGAAAAGAATACGATGCAAATGACCCAGGAGAAGGAGAAATTTCCGAGGATTAAGCAAATAAAATGGAATAGAGTAGGACGTTGTTGATTTTGAAATGGGTGACACAGACGCAAAAAGCGGACCTGACAGTATCGTCGGCATTGGTGACGACACGGATATTGCTATAGATATGGCTAAGGGACATACTCACTGGAGCTGAACAAACGAGACGGACTCTGAATTGCAAATTGAAGTCGACAATGGTATAGCCCAATGATGGTGATAAGCTGATGAAGGTTCTGTTTGTTTCAGATGTAGACATCGACTTATTTGCGATGAGAGGAGATGACGAATGTCGCATTGGAAATCTTACCAATGAAGTTCTAGAAAAAATCTTAGAAACAGTGTTTGCGTCATCGGCCATCCTGTTCGCTGGTAATGCTTGCCACTCATACCAAACATTACGTAAAGTTAATACACGATTCAGGGCGCTGGTGCAACGTCTGAAACGATTTCTACCAAGGCTTCATGTTTCTATTTAATCGGCGCTAGAAGACTTTTAAAAAAGTATGGTCCTGTAGGCGGTATATTGATCAAGCTCAAGAAAATTATTTCCAGTCCAAAGTGGGCTAATGCTTGGCTGGAAGTTCAAGTGGATGAACTCGATTGCTACGTAATCATTAGAACTTTTTGGAAAAGAAATTGACTACAACTGATGATAAACTAGCATGCTATTGTTGATGTTATCGTTTGTCTTAAAGTCGTTAGTAGTGATGTACCATTTTAGAGCAGTTTGAATGTTTTCGCTGTGTCACATGTTAATCCAAAAGAAAAGTATTATTATCAGTAGTGTTACTGAAATTCTGCACATCAATGTTATTCAGTGTCAATAAACTTTAATGAAGCTTTTGATCATTAACCAGTGAATGATACAAACTTGGCAATTAAGGTCACACTTCAGTTATATCCGACAGAATTAAATATAGATTAGTACATTGCTGAAGTCTGTTGTAGAAGCAGATGGATTTGATATCGTGATATCTGAGAAGTTCTCTGACCCAACTCGATTTCTCGGGAACTAGCGACGGCGACTTCTCGATAATATTCGACTGACTTGATCTTGACTTCAAGGAAAACTTCAGGAAGTTGTTCAAATTATAAGAGCAGGTGAGGCCTTATAGGGGTTGATCGCTGGTTCTTTAAGGAGTCTAAGAACCCACATAGGTTAATATTAACCACACAGAGAAGGAGTTTAATTTTAAAACGAACAAAACGACAACGTTAAGTTGCATTATCGCAAACGTTGTTTCACGTGACTCGATGTCACGCTGTACGAGTCCGTAACACTCCCCCACTATTAACCAGACTACTATTTGGCTACCTAATTCTATCTGGTCAACAGACCCTTACATAGTATCGAGAAACCTAAACTCAACGATAATTCGTAAAAAAGTTCAAAGCTCATTAATTCAGATCCTCCAGCCTTCTTTCTTTCAGTCAGCCTCAACGGCAGTTGCTCGTTTTGGGCAGCTCCGTGTAGACACTGGTTGCTCAGTTCTCACTTCAGTGCTAACTGGATCAGGATTCCGGCTTGAGCTTGCTTCGTTTGTTTGTTGGACAGGAACTTCGCACTGGATCTCTAAAGGGTAAACCCGCTGTACTGGGCGCATGAGTTTCGTGCATTTTCCTCCCTTGCTTCGGACTTGAACTGAGGCTCCCCTGGTTCAACCATCACATCCGAAGATGAGATCTAAAATCTTTCTTACACGCACTTCCCTCTGGGCTGATCTTCTTCATGCACAACAACTACATCTCCAAGAGATGTAGCTCTGATAGCTTCATTCTGATTAAGGTAACGATGGGCATTTCGCAGCTTGATCAGCTACTCGTTACTCCTTCTTCTTCTTCACACCACCATGCATGACTCGTTTATGGCTGTCTTTGACAATTAATGATGTGATGTGGTGGTCTTTCTCCAACAAAATGGGGTGCTTGACTGAAGTTAGTAACTCCGCCTTAGCTAAGCGTCCAGTACATCTCATAATGCTCTAATGATTGGTGAAGATGCAAAACTGCTTCTTCCAAATATCGAACTTAGGATTCTTGCTGAAGGACTTCTGTATTTCCTTAATCCAAAGGGTTTCTCCGACTGCAATATCTTGATCCGTCAACCTGTCTGGTAAAAGGGTGTCCTTTTTCAGCAATGACTTCATGATTCTTCCAAACTTTAGAACAAAGACTGTAACTCTTATAAATCTCTGCAGTTTGCCATAGTCTTCTGCTCTCATGATCTGTTCTACACCGCAGGGTTCAACTGCTGCAAGCATTACGGATGAGGTTTCTCTTTGGCAGTTTGCCCTTTCCTCAGCTCTGATTTCTGCAAAACATTCTCCAGGTAAATGTGTGCTGTCCAATACGCTCTCAGTGTTTTCCCTAAAATCAGTTAACCACTTGAGACTCTCCATCCACAAGGCACACTTTGAGAGTTCTACAGGTTTCAATCCTCTTGAGGGAATATCGGCTGGGTTATCCTTTCCGTTACAGTTTCGTCAACTACCCGATGTTACAAGGCCCCTGATCTCGTGGACTCGATGTTGGACAAATTGCTTCCACTCCTTTTGTTCGGCCTTGATCCAAAGTAATGTTACTTTGGAATCAGTCTAGCAAGTAATGTCTTTATTTGCCAATCCAGTTGCAAGGCCTCCTTAACATGCTCAATCAGTCTAGCTAGTACTAGAGCGGCAAGAAGCTCTAATCTTGGAGTGGATAATTCTTTCGCAAGGGGCAACTCTGGAATTGGATGCAACAAACTTGACTAAGCTTCCTTTGGTGATAGTCACGCGCAGGTAGATCACTGCTGCATAGGCCTTACTGGGTGCATCCCCAAATCCATGTTGGCTACAAATGACAACTCTCTCTTGAACTCCTTGGAAGTAGCATCTTGATAGCGAAAGTGTCGTCACACCTTATAACCAATCCAACATTTTGCGCAACATCTTCAACAATTCATCATTTAAGGGATTATCCCAACCAATTTTCATTTGGCAAACTTCTTGGAAGAACAACTTAAACTCTATAATAATTGGTGACAGAGATCCAAAAGGGTCGTAGAACTTTGCAGCAATACTAAAAACGTTTCTCTTGGTGGGTTTAAGGTCTCTTGCATAGTTCGCTATCTCAGCCAAATCAAATATCAGTATGTCCTTCATGGGGTTCCAGCGTACTCCAAGGACCCTTGAGTCTGAGCTGGTTTTCTTTTCTATTGTGCCAGGCATGCTCTTTACGTAAGTTTTGTCTTCAGAAACAACATTCCTTTCTGTACAGGCTCGAGGAGACTGTACATTCTTGGGCTCAGCAGCCTTTCTGAATGTACCGGCATCAGAGTTTCTGGAATCATTACATTGAATTCTGCTTGTTAGTTCAGGGAAATTTAATACAAACTTCCTCCTCAGGTTGAATCCTCCCTCAGCAAGCCTGAGTTTGGACTTCAGATAAAGTTCATAGCCTGTATTAGTCTCAGGGGCTCCAGAACCTAGGTCATCCACATAAATCGAGCGAAGAAATTTCTCTACGAATTCAGGATCTGCTTCTTTGTACCTTTCAATGTGTTGCTTGATCGTGGCATTTAACAAGAAAGGACTAGATTAGACTCCGAAGACAACATGTGTAAACCTTAGAATCACAATTTCAGGAGAAGGTTTGCCGATGGCATCCACCCATGGGAATCTTAACACGTCTCTATCTTCCTCTACCATACCCACCATCAGAAATGCAGAAGCATCAAAAACGACTCTATGCTTAGTTGTTAACTTGTCCCTTCTTATGACTGCATGATGCATTATGTAGTGGACCTGACCAACGCCTCCTTCGCTAGGCTTTTCTACAACTTCAATTATGCCTCTATGTAGCTGTTCCTTTATGAAAGAGTCATATTCTCTAGGGACTTCAGGCTCGTGGTGGAGACGTTCAAGAAGGTTCTCTAAACGTTTCCTGCTCAACTAGTATGTGGCATTTTCCAAGGAAGATGGACTTCATATCTCTCATTCGTAAAGGATGTCTGCTCTTGGAATTCTTCATACAGCGTCCTTGGTTTAATGCCAAGTGATTCTAGTTCCCAGAATGTTTTACAGTTCCATCAAGGGTCTCATTTGTGACATCAACAGGTTTAACTGCACTCTTCAGTACATGTGTTGTGACAATATTACTTTGCTGCCTATTAACTTGTGTTCCCTCTGGGACTGGACCTAACAAAACCCATCCAAGTTTTGTCTCAATTGCAATGGGGCCATGCTCCCCTCGTACCACCCTGCCAGACACTAGACTCCAATACTGGTCTGACCCAACAAGAATATCAATGTCAATATTGTCATCACCCATAAGGCTTCCTACATGAGACTCTAAAATGTCACATATTCCCTTTCTTGCGTCTTGATTAGTCACAGGGCTAACATTGAGGAAAGTTTCCATGTGGCGATTGATGATTTGTTGCTTGTTTCCAAATCTCTTCCTAAGGATCGCAATTACTTCTTCATAATTTGATGCAGTGAGAGACAGGCCAGAAATGGTATCAAGAGCTGGTTTCATAAGGAGTGAGTTCAAATGATTGAACTTGTCAACAGGAGCCAATGAAGGATTCTTATGAATAGAGGACTCGAAAGCATCCCAGAGGGTGGGCCACGAACTAACTTCTCCATCAAATTTTCTCAAGTCCAGTTAAGGTAATTTAAATCGAGGAACTGTTTCTTGAGTAGGTAAGCTTAAACAAGATTATTTGAGGGTTCAACATTTCCAACAGCTTCAGGAAGGCTTACCAGAGATTCAATAGAGTCATTTGACGATAAGAAGTCACTAGTAACAACCTTAGAAGGGCTTACCGGTGTCTCGTTTTTTGATGCGTCCATGCCGTTTGCGGGGGTCCTCAAGGTTTCAAGAAAATTATCAATTCTAGCGATGGTAAGCTGAATTAATTCATTTACGAGATCTGCTTCCCGAATTTCGTTTTCAATTTACTCTTCTTCCACGATTGACAAGATTTCTTCGTCTACAACTTTTAGGGTTTCCAACTTGACGTGCAAGGACTGCTTTTGCTGGTAAAACTTTGACACGAGGAGGGCAAACGCTTGTTAGTTCTCGTCCAAGTTAACGTTGCTTTAGGAGACATCCAGTTGTTCAATGGCAATACGTTTGACGGTTGTTCTGTGCCCTTCACGCCAGTTTTTTCCATGAAATGGATTTCACTTTGGGTAACATCACATGCACCTTTAAAATAATCAACTTATGGACAAATGAAGAATCCACACCACGTGCTCGTAAACAAGAATTGTCCGGTCCAAGGATTAACACGACAAGAAATTCCTTGAAATGGATTTCACTTTGGGTAACATCACATGCACCTTTAAAATAATCAACTCATGGACAAATGAAGAATCCACACCACGTGCTCGTAAACAAGAATTGTCCGGTCCAAGGATTAACACGACGAGAATTAGGACTGACAAATAATCCGATTCGGAGTGACCATATGAGAGAGGGTGACGCCTTTTAAGGGGTTTATCGCTGGTTCTTTATGGAGTCTAAGAACCTGCATAGGTTAATATTAACCACACAAAGAATGATTTTAATTTTAAAGCGAACAAAACGACAAAGCTAAGTCACATGATCGCAAACGTTGTTTCGCGTGACCCGATGTCACCCTGTACAAGTCCGTAACACAAATTAGACAGGTCAATTTTCCCAGCCTTGAATATGATGTATACGAAAAAATGACTGATATAGCACAAAGACATAAAGGTACCTTGCGTTGAAGATGAAAAGTTAGATGGTGAAAGTTCAATCTAGGATTTCCGCATTGCAACTATGCAAATTACCCCGCTGGCATTAAGAGCTTCTGCTCGTGACATTCAACTTTAGCTGAATTTCGTTCCAGTGGGATGGAAAGAATAGAGACTTTGGGAATGTCACCAGAGAGAGGGTGGAGGCATTTTGCATAGGGAATGGTAAGTGGAATCTGGAAGGGAAAATGAAAAAAAAAAGAAAGAAATAAGTTCTATCAATCTTCACAAATTGTGAGTAATGCAAGAAAAGATTAAATTTTTTTCTTTTCTTCTTAAGGACACTTCATTCCATGTTTTTTGAAATAAAATTTTAATGAGTCAAATAAATATTAAGTCACCTTTATATCTTTTTAATACGAGTAATGAATGTTCAGTAGTAGCATTTTTTAGATTCTCTACCATTAAAATTGTTACATCAGTATCTAGCACACCATTAGGTTTTCCTTTCATTGGATTGTTACGTAAATATCTCGTGCACTTTCAGAATTTTCTTCCGTTCGATTTCCAGGTATCTATCTCGTGCACTTGGATTGTTACGTCATTATCATACACATATTTAGAATTCTCTTTCATTTTGATTGTTACGTATTTATCTCGCTCACCTTTAAGGTTCTCTTTCATTCGATTGTTTCGTTAATATCTCATGAATTTTCAGGCTTCTATTTCATTGGATTTTTACGTTAGTATCTCCTGTACTTTAAGGATTATTTAATTGGATTGTTGCGTTCAAACCTCGCGCACTTAGAGGATTTTCTTTCATTCGATTGTTACGTTCGCATCTGGCGCACGTTTACTGACTCGATCGCAACATTGAGTCTTACAGCTAATAACATCACTGACCAATCAGTTTATACAAACCGGACTAAGAACATTCGACTGACAACAACTATTCACTTGACTCTGATGACGACTTCCGCTCAGGTTGTCGAAATGTCAGTCACCACTACCAACAACAGTCCTTCTCAGGAATACACTCACCCGAACGATCAAACTACACTATTACATTAGTCCTTCTCTCACTTTAGCATTTTAAACATAGAAAAAAGATGAAATCATTAAAACGATGGGGAAATCTCTTACTGTGGAATTTCACGACAACTTCGAAGACACTATACTGGGCTACGCGTGATCTCATTTATGATCAAGTCGAACGGCAGGAAAGGTGCGTAGTGGCGTTTACAAAAACAACTTTAAAATGAAGTCGGCTATTTTTCAACATGAAAGTATGAAATATGAGCTAGTTTTTAAACTGCTGGTTACGTCGATAAAATTATTGAAATAACGACACGAAAACGACGACAAAGAAGCGTTGCAATGGGGGTGGGGGTGGGTGATGGGGCACAACCAGCAGATCGTCATGCGGTGGCAGCTAAGACCCCTACAATCTTTAAGAGACCAAGTTAAAGATAAGAATATTGTTGGTTCAAAGTGTTGTTCAAAAGAGGTTCATTTAAACTAGACACTAAAGAATGTTATTCCTGTTATGAGGCTACTCATTAAAAGTGTCAATGTCACCAAATATGCCATGATCTACCCACCGAACCCTCGACCACAAATTCATTAAACACTCGATTTGCTAAGTCTTTACAATTATCTTCCATCCAATGGTATGCTTTCTTTAGCTCGTCCTTGCGATAAAGAAACTTGATCAAATCTTGCATAGATCCTTTGCTACCACCATGTTTTATTTCGACCACTGGAGTGTTTCTGAGGATTCCCTCTTCGTATTCTCTGACCATGATACAGCTTTTGTTCCTTTGAAGGAGAATTTTGTCACAGTGTTTCTCGATGGACCAATACCAATGCTTCGAACGTATCACGACAAACTGATGGTTTAAAATAAACTGGGTAAGTTGCCCTTTCTTCAGAGGTCTTTTATAAAGCCAAATTTTTTGAAGTTCCTCGATCTCGTCAATCCCATTAAATTCGCTCATTTCCTCTATTAGGGAACTCTGCGTCAGATAAAAGGATGTCGATATTCCAGGCTCGAAGACAAGTTTCCCTTTCCATCCTCCACCTTTAATATTCTTGCGAGAACTGCTTTTTCGAGACATTTTCAAAGGCCTGGGGATAAAACTCGAGAATTATAAGATAAGAATTTTTGGTGCGTTTAAATGCGTTGGTTGGAATTCAACATTTATGCCGCTACTCGCACATACACTAATTTGATAACTTTAACTGATTTCTTAAGATGTGCAAGGGCATTTCTAAATGGTCGTCGTTTTGAATCGTGCCCACATCCACGCTAAAAACTTTTCGGAGATAAACAAATTTGTGCTTTCTCAAGGGAATCACTAACCCGTCAGTCCAAATTTAGACATTAATAATCATTCAGACGCCAAACTTAATTAGCTAAACTAAGTCTGCTGATTTCTTTATTGTGGCAAAATATTCGTTGGAGTTGATATGGATTTCAACACGAATTAAGAGCTTAACAGTCTTCCTAGGGCTTCTTTAAATCTTCAAAAGGAAGATTTTGCGTGCAGGTGATATCGTACACGAGAGGAATCCGTTTGTGAAGCGAATCACCATGCGCACATCTCATGTTTGCCTCATTGAGGGTCTCATGGGTGATGGCTTTTACGGCTAACGATTAAATTTTGGCTATTCCCCAGGAATTTTCTTAACGGTTAACATTTTTCACGACTATCGATTAAAAGTTGGCAATTTTACGCCTAGCGGATATATTTTTTGGCCGTTTTACGGCGATCATTTACCCTCATCAAGAACCACTTTACTAGCAGTACATACCGATTGGTAACAGGAGCATAGTGAATTCTTGGAAATTTTGCATTTATGACAGCAGAAGCGAGGAATTCTTTTTTTAGATAAAACCGTTTCCATTTTCGTTTAGTGTTATCAAATTTTTTGAAATGCCTTGTCATTTTATATTTACTGCAGAGTTATGGTTCAGTTTTGCCAACTACAGGCTGCATTGCACATAATTCCCTGCAAATGTTCTGCTAGAAACTCTGCTTGAGGAGCTGCAAAATTGAGTATTGACTGTGTCTGGCTCTCCTGCTTAATTCTTAATTTTGGAATGTGAATTTGTTGACTTCGGACTAGGCTAAAACTGTAGGTATTTCCTTTTGGTTCTGGTAGAAACACGTTATGATTTTACATAAAAAGACTTATTTCAGATTCCGAATTGTGGCTAATCCGACGTCGAAATTCCTGCCCAAACCAGAACTTGAGTGCAGCTTCTCTAGAACTGTATCTCATTAAGGGTAACGCTGTTTATTCCTTTTCAAGCTCAAACGGTCGATTTCTGAACTTGGTTGTACCTTTCGTGTCTGCTCCATGCGTGTTATTTTAATCTTCAAAGGTATAAAGGAATTATAAGTATTTGCTTCATTTGCGAGCCATCATTAACTACGTTCTAAAATCACGCAACTGGATAGTGACTTAGTTACACAAACACGGACCGTTAACCGGCAGTTAATGATACAAACTTTGCTATTGATGGCACACTTTATCTCCGACACAATTAAATCATATGTTAGTGCCTTACTGAAGTCTGACTGTAGAAGCAGATGGATTTGATATCGTGATATCTGTGAAGTTGTGTGACCCAACTCGATTTCTCGTGAACTAGCGACTGCAAGAGCTCGATAATATCCGCCTGACTTGATCTTGACTTCAAGGAAAATCTTACGAAGTAGTTCACATTGTCAAATTAGAAAGTACAATTTCCCCAGCCTTGAATATGATATATACCACAAAGTGACTAATACAGCACGGGGAAATAAAGGTGTCTAACGTTGAAGATGAAAAGTTAGACGATCAAGCGTCAATCACGGATTTCCGCATTGCAACTATATCCAAATTAGCAGGTAATTTAGTGTTAACAACTGGGTTGAAAACGTAAATTAGCCACCGTAAAGGGTAAAAAAGCTGACGTTTCGAGCATTAGCCCTTCGTCAGAGCGATTGTATCGGGCTAACACTCGAAACGTCAGCTTTTTTACCCTTTACGGTGGCTAATTTACGTTTTCAACCCAGTTGTTAACACTAAATTACCTGCTATACTCTCCCACCGACGCAGCACCACAGTTTCTTTAGAAACTTACCCCTTTATTCATATATCCAAATTACCCCGCTAGCGTTAAGAGTCCTTGCGCATGACATTCAACTTCCAATCTCGTACCAGTGAGGTGGAAAGAATAGAGACTCTGGGAATGTCACCAAAAAGAGATTGGAGGCATTTTGTTGGGAAATATCAACACACGTGAAAAAATAAGATATTTTTTTTTGACGTGTGTTGATATAGCCAATCAGCTGCTTACACGTCACTCGCCTTTGGCGCCACTCGGTCAGGTTGATGAATAAACGGCAAACTCTTCACGATTCTGAGTGCAAGTTGTTTGTCGGAGCTTCCTCGAATTACGGTGGCTAAAACACTAAAAAATCCATATTGATGACGGACAGTGAGGTTCAAACTTTCCTAGAAGGGGAAGAAAACTAATATACTAAAGGAAAAACCGAAAGTTGCGTATTCAGTGGCTTTGGTGTTAGCATTTCTCTGAGAATGAAATCGACAACTGGAAGATTTGTCACTGGCCGATTTTGGCCGTTCACCTGAAAGACTTCTGCCGGTAAGGACAAAGTCAATAAATGAGAATTTTGTAAATTGAAAACTACGACCATTGTTGTTTTTGTAATCACGATTCAACGCATTTTTCCATCTTAAGAGTTAGCGCCAACGCACTCTACGATTGTTATTCGGGGATTGTCGATTCATTTATTTTCATTCATTGATGAAGTCGGCTTTTCTTCTCAGTAAAGGGCTATTGTGTTTATATGATAAAGAAAATAATACATGGTTGCTTGTAGATATGGAATTTCTCTTCTCGTGTTCAACTCGACATCTCACTCGTTCGCTGCGCTCACTCTGAGGTATCGAGTTAAATACTCCAAGAGAAATTCCATATCTACGCGCGCCAATGTATTATTCTCTATTTAAGGTATTGTGTCCTTTTTCAGCATAAGAATAATGACTGTTACGATAGTATATCTTACGAATTTTTACGATTTTCTTCCATTGGATGTTACGTCAGTATCTCGCACACTTTTAAATTGTCTTTTATTGGATTATTGCGTTAATAACTTGAGTACTTTTGAGATTCTCTTTTATTGGATGGCTACGTCAACGTCTTGCGCTTTTTCGCAATTCTCTTTCATTGGATTGTTACGTTAATATCTCAAGCACTTTTAGGATTCTCTTTTACTAGATTGTTACGTTGATATCTCGTGGGCTTTCAGGATTCTCTCTCATCGGATTGTTACGTTAGTATCTTGTGCATTTTTAGAATTCCCTTTCGTTTGATTGTTACGTATTTATCTCGCACACTTTTCATATTCTCTTTCTTAGAAATTGTTTCGTTAGTCCGTTAGAATCTCATGCGTTTTTTAGGATTCTCTTTCAATGGATTGTTTCGTTAGTATCTGGCGCTCTTTTAGGACTCTCTTTCACTCGATTGAAACATTAGTCCTTCGCCTACTTTTTTTAGCATATTAAATTAATAATCAAATTAATTAATTAAATTAATAGATCAAAGACAAAAACATCTTTGACCTCGAGAAAGTCATCAAGATGATGGCGAATGAGGCATTTCACGACAGTTTTCAAGACACTTGAGTGAGCGAGATCTCAGTTGTGATTTTTTTCGAAAGGCAGGAATGGTGCGTAGAGGCGTGTACAAGGACAAATTATAAATGAAGCCAGCTATTTTTCAACGTTAAACTATTGAGTAAAATATAAAAATGTTTATTCAAACTGTCTTTAGAGGCAGAAATCAGTGAAAATGAAGTAGGCTGAGCATGTTTTTGTAGGACTGATTTACCATTCTTAAGTTTCTAAAAATGTTGTTAGCAGGCGGCTTAAGTAGAGATGTTCTTTAAGTTGTTTGACGGTTGGAATTGATTTGAGTTTTTGACGGTTGACGGCAAACATATATCCTTTTGACGGCTAACGTTGATATTTTAAGTCCTTTGATGGCTGACTGTTAAACTCCACTGGGACCCTCCTATGCAGCCAAATGGATTACAGGTTTTCATCAATCAAATTTTCCCCTTCAGAAAATCGTTTTTTAACCTTTGTGAGTTTTTCCTCCGTATCTTCCGACACCGAGTATTGTAAATAACAATAAGAAAAATGGTGTTTGATGAACACCACGATGCTTTTGAAAATCATTCTTCTTGTATTTTTCAATGAAAACAAAACATGTTTCGGATGAAACATCATCCATTGCCAGTTGTATATGAGAAATAAAATGAACTAATGCAATAAATAGTATAGCAAAGTGAGATGTTAACATCTGACTTTGGTTCATCAAAGCGATATCTTACTTCGTGCTGCTACGAAGCCTTGGAAAAATAATAGTAATAAAAAAGATAGTATCCATTTTAATATAGTAGTTGCAAGGCGATGAAGGGGAGATTAATGCTTTTTATCTTCATGGGGCAACGAAGTCTTTAGATGACCTGAAGTGCAATTAAAGTTCATTCAATAAGGAGGGGGGGACTTATTGAACACAAGTTCAAGCATATACCTCCACTGATCAAAATGCCCCTTTGGGTAGTTCGTTGGTAAAGATAATAATAACAAGAAAGTTGTGACTACCCTGCTTCATGGTGCTTTGAGATAGTTCTTTAGTCGGAGCGGAACAGAAAAAATATATGCCCCGCATAATTTTGGAGAAAGCCTTAACGCAACAGTTTCTGGGCCTTTACTAATAGCGTTCGGTGACAGGTGTTATTTAAAAACTTCGGCTGTAGTTCTGGTATTTGTAACCTGACGCATTTGGCAGGTGGAATCCACAGGGAGAGACGAGAAAAGGGCGTTCAAGGAACAGGTGCATAAGGCCAGCGAAGAAGGCTGCGCCTAGAGGCAGCAATGAGAGTAGCCCAAATCAGATCACTTATGGACCTTTGATTCACTAGCAGTGGTAGCTAATGAGCGGAGAAAAACAACATGATGAAAATCCGTAGCAATAATGACTTAATTAACTTCGTTAAAAAATGATCAGCTGTCGATCCTAAATCGCTTTTGTAAACTAGAGATGACCACAGTCTATACAATTTGGTGATTATTTTTTTGGTGAGCTATTTTCACTTTTTTGCCCAAACGTATGCCAACAAAACAACAGTGATACCAACGCCGGCTGGTAAGGCAGTGGAATTTGGGCGTCTCGTGTCTTGGCTTGGCTTTTTAAATTGGTTAAACAACCTTTCTGAGAAATGTTGACAATTATCGCTAAACAAAATTTTTAAGTTCATTTTCACAAATAAACTTAATCAAATCTCCCATAGATCCTTCTCCCTCGATTTCAACAATCATCTTTACTGGTGTATACCTAGCTTGACCCTCTTTACACTTCTCTACACAATCCTTTGCTTTCGACCTTTGCAGGAGAATTTATTCTGAATCCTTTCAGATCGAAAAATACCAATTAGTTGTTTTAATCACTACAAACTGATGATAGGTGGACAGGTTTTCCTCTCCGTTTTTGGAAATAGGGCATCGATAACTACCAATATTTTGTATTTCCTCGCTGTTCGTAGTCCCATGCGGGTCTTCCACAGATTGTTGCAGCGAGTAACGTTTAGTGTCGAATTCGCCATTTTCTTTGTAAAAATATGTGCATACCTGACTGGTCCATTTTCCACCCTACTGATGCTTCCGCTCATTATCATGTGACAAATGTTCTAATAGGTAAAGATATACCATAAAAAAAAACATATCAAAAAAAGCCAACATCATTCTCCTGCCCGTATGGACCAGGCCTTCATTGTATTAACTCATGCAGATATCAGCGTAAAGTCGCCTGATAAATTCAAAGCAATCACTCGTACGTTGTGATTTTTTTCCATGAGCAGCGGTGGGATTTTTTCTTAGCAAGCAAATGTTCCGAAATATGGGCCTTAAAAAAGGAGAGAAAAACGAAACAAACAAAGACAAACAAAAGACACAAAATGATAAAACAGAGAGAGAAAAAACCTTCATTGTGATTTGGCACAATGAATGATTGTTTTCCTCGCCTTCGCTGTGTCAGCTTTTAGCTAGTTTAAATATGCAGCTCGTAAAGGCTCTATTTGTATTAGAAATCCAACCATGCTAACTCTCGAAGAACATCATAATCGATCAGCTGTCGATGACAGGGACACACATTTCTATCAGTTCTTACCTTCACTCTCAATAGTTAGATGACCTCCCGTTCCTTCATTCCTGTATGTCGCGCTGGAATTAAGTTTCGTCACCCTTTAAAAATTCCTGGGCTAATTAAACAAATATGACTGTCAACATAAACGAATAAAGGGGGCGAGTTTCTAAAGAAACTCTGATGCTGCGTCAATGGGGAGTATGGTATGATAATTTGGTTTCATTAATTAAAATGACATGAATTGGCCACCGTAGAGATGTTCTAAATCTGACCTTGCGAGCGTTAGTCATTCATAAGAGTGGATTGCCTCTGAAACGCCAGCTGTAGAATCCCTTTACGGTTGCAAATTCCCCTTATCATTTCTGTAGGTTGATAAATAGAGAATAATACATGGGCACGAGAAGATATGGAATTTCTCCTTGAGTGTTCAACTCGATAGCTCACGAGTCAGATATCGATTTGAACACAAGAAGAGAGCTGATTACATATCTGCAAGAAACCATGTATTCGATTGTCTTTTATATAAACACAGTAGGCCTTTACTGGCAAGAAAAGTCGACTTTATGAATAAATTAAAAACATAGGATCCACAATCCACGTAAAAAAAAGTCGCAAAGCACGTCGGCAATTTTCGGCGATAAGGCTCAAGATGAAAAAACGCTTTGAATCAGTACAAAAACAAACAATGGGCATAACTTTCAATTTGCTAGTTACACGGCCAAAATCGGCCAATGGCAAATTTTCCACCTGTCGATTTTTCTTCTCAGCTGCGAGAAAAGCGGCTGAGAAGAAAGCCAAAGCCACTAAATACCAAACTTTCGGTTGCTCCTTTCTTCCGCTTCTGGGAAATTTTGAACGTCATTATTTGTGAGCGATACAAATTTTTCAGGGTTTTAGCTGCCATAATCCGAGAAATTTCGACAAAGGACCTTGGATTGAGAACGGTGAACGATTTACTATTCTTTTATCAACCTGTCAGAGTGGCGCACAAGTCGAATGACGTGTCAGCAGCAGCGAATACTGTTGAATAATCCCGGCGAATAACTGTTAAATACCAAATTATCTTGTGACATCGGAAACTAAAGACCACGTTGCATAACCTGTTTCAGTGCTCTGACCCGGAAAGAGCGTGCGAAAGACAAGAAGACGCTAATTATGACCTTCTATTGAGCGAATTCGCCTGTTCCACCTGGCATTTCTAGCTTCAAAATTCATTGAGAGCGGTGAATCATCATTTTCTCATTTAAGGAAAACACTAAAATGTAAATTGTAAAATTTCTCATTCTCCGGCCTCCACAAACTGTAAGCGAACTGGAAACGTGGAAATAAATTATTTTATTATAGTCAGTCTTCGTCATAAAACGGTCTAAAACCTTTGGGTTGTGGGTCCGCACTTCATGGTCAAGAACAAAAGAGCACAACTTCATTTCTTCCTTTTTTCCTTCGTTTGTATACAGATTTAGACGTGTCTTTTTGGGGGTTGGAACATTTTCATGGAATGAAGTTGAGCCCAAAGTTTCTCTGCTGATTTCCTTAAGAATTGTACATTGAACGATCGTTAAGACTTTCAACGCTTCTGTTGAGTCAGGCTTTACAAAACACGTGGCTGTTGTAATGATATTTCACATCCAATATGATACACAATTCTGAAACATTATCTGCTCTTAAAGCTTTACTAATTTTGCTTCCACGTACGTTATGCTACCTGATGGAGACATTACAACAGGGACACAACTCGATTATTTTCCTTCTTTCACTTTCAATACATTGACGCCATCTTAGCCTTTCATTCGTTTTGCTTTGCCATAAGCACAGGTCTGAGGAAACGTATGCTGCTCCTTTCATAAAAAAACCTTGATGTTGACTCACCAGAATTCGAAAAGCGACCTCTTGGAATAAAGATTTGACTTCTATCTTCTTCTCCGGTTCTCATGAAAATGGGTTGATAGCTTCATTCAAGGATGCAGTCTATCTGAAGATTCAATTCTCGTAGACAAAGAAGGCGAACCAGTTGTGATGCAATTAATATAAGTATGGTAGCAACTTGAGAACGAGGTTGAAAAAGAGTGATTAAACTTTCCGCGTGTTTTTGATAATTAGGGGCAAAGTACATGTGCAAAGTTTATATACGAACCTTCAGCGGCGTTAATCAGCTTTGTGTGACGCCATTCATATACTGATTCTGTTGCGAATACGTAAGTTTATTTCATAGGTACTGAGATTTACCCACAAAAATCGTAGTGAATAAAATTCGTACTGATTCTAAATGTAGCCAATCAGGAGTACGAACGACAAAATTTCACCGTGAAAAATTATCGTTCGTCCAATCAGCAACGTGAACGACGAAATTTCACTAATGATGAATGAACGTACTGAAGAGAACGTCATGCGAGAGCCGTTGCACAAAACCCGCGCGCTTTGAAAAATGGCCTAGGGAAGGTTCGCTTCTGTTTACTCAGTTGAAGAATTCATTTTAGAACACTAAAACAAAAATACCGCTCAAAAAACTGAAAGAGATGTAAGATTGCTTGACATATTTTTGAAAACGAAGGACGAAGACAAGAAAATTGAAGATATTCCAGCGGCTGAGTTGAATGAATTCATTAGCGAATTTATTATCTCCCTACGTACTAAAGATGGCAATGAGTACGAGCCGACTTCGCTTCGAAGTTTAATGGCCAGCTTCGAACGACATTTGAAGAAAAAGGGCTATTCTGCCAGCATAATCAACGACTTGGTCTTTGAGAAAACCAGAAAAGTTCTTCAATCCAAGCAAAAGCAGCTAAAGAAGCAAGGAAAAGGGAATAAACCGAAAGCATCGGTAGCTTTGACAACCGAAGAGTTAAAGATATTGTACGAGAAGGGTTTGCTCGGTATGTGTAGTCCTGCGGCGCTATTAAACACGCTCTGGCTAAACAACACTCTTCACTTTGGACTCCGTGGGTGCAAAGAACATCGTGATATGTGTTGGGGAGATGTAAAGCTTCACAAAACGGCAAACGGAGTGGAATACTTGGAGTTCAATGAACGTCAAACGAAAACTAGAACTGGCTCAGACTACAGCAATGTCAGAGCTGTACCGCCGAAAATGTTTGCGACCGACGAAACTGAAAGAGATCCTGTCGCAGTCTACAAATTTTTTGCCTGGAAGAGACCCGAGGAAATGAATCAAGACAATGCTCCCTTTTATCTGGCCGTAAACAACGGTTTAAAGGCGGACTCGCTCGCAAGAAAAAGCTGGTTCAAGTCCGGTGCGTTTGGCGTAAACAAACTCAACGGTTTAATGAAGACAATGGTGCAGAAAGCAGGAATCGAAAACGACAGGCTTCGAAATCACAGCGGCAGAAAGACAATGATCCAGACGCTAAGTGAAAATGACATTCCCCCTACGCAAATTGCACAGCTATCTGGCCATAGGAATTTGAAGAGCATAGAAAACTACAGCACTGTTTCAACGAAACAACAGATGCACATGTCAAAAGTGCTACGCAGTGTGGTGGCTGGTACCCCAGCTTCGTCCTCTTCTGAAACAGCTTGTCCGTCGTCCTCCGACTCCCAGAATACCGGTAAGCAGTCCATGGCACTATTCAGCGGAGCTGTTATTCAAGGTGGTAATTTTTCCATTCATATCAACACAGTAAATCAGTCTCCGACGCTTACCACAGATCTGTCAATTCCCGAAGCGGCGAGATGGAAACGTCTGAGGCCTTTAGAATTGGAAAGTGACTCTGATGATAACTGAATATTGACTTTCTTTACATGACACTAAGTAGTTTGTTGGCATGGCTCCTTTATTATAATATTAATAGACATTGAACTTGATTGATATCTGATGAACACAGGTAAGCTTAAGTGTTATGAACTTGCACTTTTATTAACTTGTTGTTGAGAAATTTTTAAACTACTTTTTACGCTTTTCATCGCCCCATTTGTGCTATTTGTCTACCAAAGACAACACGAAAAAATCTCGGCACCTACGAAATAAAACCCATTATGCTTTGTACGATTTTCATTCACTCGTTGATACGTATCAGAAAACTCACTCGATCGCTGCGCTCACTCGTTCGTTTTCTGATACTACACAACTCGTGAATAAAAATCGTACGCTTGCATTTTCCATGAAGTAATCTCTATTTTTCTCGATCTCTACGTTATCAGGAATTTGACTGCAGGGGTTGCCCCACGGCCAATCAACTCCCAGGGAAAAATATTTTTTAAAATTAATTTTTGCGTGGGTGCGTTAAAATCTCTCAGGCTAATCGCAATGTTTTTACCGTTAACCGTCAAATAAGCAAGTCAAAGTAAGATATCATTACCGTACAGCTCGCATATATGATAAATGCGCAAACGAATTTCATACGCTTGGACACAAGGTAGTCAGACGCACATATATGATTTTTTTTGCTTGCACGGTCGAACAAAATGCGCGACTTATGTTCCTATGTTATTCATTGCCATAACTTTCTTTTGTATTACACTATTGTGTAAAACAAAAAACTTTTACTGGTTTGAAAAAGCGGCGAGTCAACATTGGAAAATTTACATAATGAAAAAGCTATCAGGTCACACTCACACATACCGCGTCGCTTCGCGAATTTATCGAATAACGAGCAGTAGTAGTAGTAGAAGTAGATTTGCTTGATATGAATTGTTGATGAATCAGGAAGGAAGGAAAATGTCACTTACAGACAGCATGAAAACACGTTTATCATTAGGCGAATACTCACGAACGAAGCGAATACTCACTAAAATGCTTCCCAATTTACTCATTGCAATCAGCGCTCCCTTAAATGTTTACCCATCGGAATGTTAACAATTTGGTGTTCGCATCGCAAGTGATTATTTCTTCGAAACTCCAAACTTACCTCGATCACCTTCGATGAGGAACAGTAGGAAAATGTACTATTGAAGATTGTGATTGATGTCATATTTTATTCATTGCAATCGGCGCTCGCTTCGGTGTTTACGCACCGAAATGTAAACAGTTTATTTCGCATCGCACGTGTCTTCAAAAAAAACTTGAAATTCATATATCCAGCATTCAATTTTCCCTTCCTTTTTCAAGCAATTTGGTGAACATCGATCGATGATTTGACAAATAATGAAACAAGAAGCAAATCGGCAAATCTGCTCTCGCATTTAAATTTGAATACGAGTCAGAACAAGACTTAGTCGTGACATGTAACCAAACTGTAATACAACACAATTAAAATAAGTGAGTAGAACTTCATAGTTTGTGTTTAAAAGGCGAGATGAACGAACCAGTTTTCGAGAACAGCATGATAAAAGCTATGAGATAAGCATTTGCGTGTGAGTTTGTATTCAGAACGCGACAACTGGTTACAAGCAAGGGCCTTAGCTGATTCTGCCGAAATACGAGACACTGACCATATATTTATTTTCAAAACCTTCCCAGACCGTTGCGACGGATGTTCTTTTATACCTGTTGAGAAATAGCTATTTTGATACAAGAATTCTGTTGGAAAATGAGATATTATTTATATATTCCGATTACGAAGTCGCATTAGTATGCAGCAGTATGTCGGGAAGGTCGGTTCGAACGGTGATTGAAACTGCACTAGGAGCAAATGTGGCCAATATCCTTTTATAGTCCGATATTATTGCTTTTTATATTGTAGATTTCATACTCTTGATAAGTTTTGAACTTTCCTGCTCTCTTACTTTTCTTTGGTCGTAAGTTATTCTAAAATGAATCACAGTCAAACTTATCAAATGAAATAGGCCATTTTCGATATCCTAAAATTCAAACCTGGCTCCGAGGCTTAGGGGAATAAAACAAAGGAAATCACATCGAAGTTGAAGGATGAATAAATTAATTTATTTTGTTTTATTCCCCCTAACCTTGGAGCCATGTTAGAATTTGATGTAACGAAAATGGCCTATTGAGGGGGTCGTCATTTGGCGTAACCGCTGACACCTCGCAAAGTATCTGTAGGCATGGAATCAACCTGAGGCGCGTTAACCCCAAGGTGAAAAAGGGTCATGTGACTGTAAGGCCGCCACAATAGAAAGTCAAATGAGAATCTATCTCAAGGCTGGCCATGACATCGAGACAGCATCGCAAATGATGACAGCCATGAGTCATCTGGCGGAATGGCTGGAGTCTGCCTGACAGTGAGCGGTCCGCAACGTACCTACTGCAAAGTCAACGCCAGAGAAGTGGGAAGGAGTATTAGTTTCATTAATAACATTGCATACACCAACGAAGGAGTGCTGCTGTGGAGAGCGTATGGAGTTGGGTCCGGTAAATTTTTACCTAAGCGTAGTTTCTGTCCACAAAGTAGTAGCCTTCTTCCTCAGTTGAACAAGAATACAGATAATGCGATTTCCCAGGTTTCTTTTCAAACCGTCAAAGCTAGAGGAGGCGCGAAAAAAAAAACAACAACAGTACCAACAGAATTGGCAAAGGCTTCAGCAAGCCTTTGCTAATTCTGTAGTTCTGCAGGAGAGAGAATGACAGAGACGACGAAACCTGTGAAAAGGAAGACGGCTGTTATATTTTCCAAAACATCCTGACTGATGCAAAAACAAGTATGCCCTCGAACAAGAAACACTGTACAACAAGGCAATGACCCAGGTAAACTAGAGCACGACGGTGGTGCCGTTCCTGAAACTGTGAACGAAGATGTATACATATCTTTGAAGGAAGAAGGTCCAGCGCTACTGATGGGATGGGCTCTGAATTCAGCGGTAGTAACGAGAAAGACCTTCACCAATGCTCAGAAAAACTATCTTACTGAAGTTTTTCAAGAGGGAAAACGCACTGGGAAAAAGGCTGATCCTTCTATCACTTCAAAGGCAATGCGAGCTAATTGTCTGGTACTTTTCATCTGTCCAAGATTTTCCATTTTGTGACGCAAGGTTTCGAGATTCGCCTGCAATTTTTGAGCTTCAAAAGCTGCATTTTGGCGGAATTCAGTTATTATCGATTTTCTCGAAAATAAATTGACATTCATGTTTTTTCCGCTTCTTTACTCACAATGCACACGCCAAACAACTTACATTCCATCACGTACCAAAACGTCGTTGAAATGAATAAAAAAATTGCATTCTTAATGTTTACTTCGCTTTCTTGAATAAAGAGATGTTTTTCTATGGACGCGAAAGCTACATGCCAAAAGTCAATAAGTTGGAGGACTTGATAAATTTACCAAAAAAACGTACTCACCAGTTGTTTTTTACCACAATGCTTTCAGCTTGCATCGTAAAATTGATTGCAGCAACTGAAAAGATTGAAATTCAGTCTCACATGGTCTTATACTTTCTAAAAACAAACAGAAAAGATGCCGTTCCTCCGAGCACATCGAAGAAAGTTATCGAGCATGCATACAGTGAACAATAAAATCCTTTTGTTTTCTGAAAGAACAAGTCACAAACTAATTCTGCGCATTATAGTGAGGTGTAAAAATGTAAGCGATCACAGATGAAAAAATAGAGAATGACGTGGAAATGAAAGCGGGGCATTCGTTTAGAGGGTTTAAGTTACGTCGGTATATGTGAAGTTTCACTTCTAAGAGGTATGTGTATGACGTCTACTGTGTTCTTCTCTGAGCAGGCAAGAAAGGACTAATTGGTCACAGGACTTCTTGTCGTCCAATTCGGTCCTATTATCATTATTAATGGACATTTTTCTTTATTCTCATCGCTCGTCTGCTTGATATTGTATTGATATTTTGAAGAGAAATTATGTCTTGGTTATTATGGGAGTTAAAGGGTTATAGGTTTTAAAAATATCTTTAAAAATCCACCCGATGCGTAAGAAATCTCACTCGAAACGATTGCAGCGATCGTCGAGTGGCAGTTGCTGAGATACCTGCGATCTTCAAAAAGACCAGACTGTTGGTTCAAATTGACGTTGAAAAAAGTTCAATCAAACAACTGTAGAAAGAAATTCCTATGTGACTTTAAAGCAGCTCTTCATTTGAAGTGTCACTGTTCGCAAAAAATTGAGTGTTTCTTTGACCGCATCCTACCAAATATTCATTGAACACTCTATTTGCGAACGTTTTACAATTATTAAGCACCAAATCGTATTTAGTCTGCAGTTCCTCCTTGCGATGGAGAAACTTGATCAAACCTTTCATTGTTCCTTTGCAATCACCTTGTTTTATTTCTTCTACTGGAACGTTTCTGGGGGATCCTTCGTTATAATCTTCAATCACGGATAACTTATTGTTTCTTTGAAGAAGTTTTTCATTGTTTCTCTCGATGGACCACCACCAAGAAGGAGAATCTATCACGACAAACTGATGGTTCAAAACCATCAGGGTAACTTGTCATTTCCCCGGAGTCGTCAATCCCTTCATGTTCGCTCATTTCCTCTCTGAGGAGGTAATGACTAAGGCGATAAGTTTATGATCTTGTGTAGAGGACCAGCACCTCGGTCGAACTTCCACCCTTGGTTGTCTTTGTGCCTTTTGATTCCGACATTTCACAAACCTTGCGGATATAAATCGAAATAAAAAAAATTTAAAACTGGACGACATTTGAAAGATTCTTTTACACTTGGATGATCACTATAACACAAAAGAAGATTCCTACTATACTGTCCAAGATTAATTAGAGACAGAGGGTCACAAGCAATGTCAAGTAGGGCCTAAGTTTAGGCACTTTTCAAAGGAGAAGGAAGATGATGGAAACATTGTTTAAATTAAGGACGCATTTCGAGGGGTCGCAGATTTGGATTGTGCATACATCCACCTTTAAAACGTTTTGGAGTTTAACTCAAGTCTAGTCAGTCCAAATTTTGATATTACTAAACGATACATCGAAGTTGGAGAAGTTAACTCAACTTAAAAACCACGATGCCCTCGTTTAAATGGTACTGATTCAGACGCCGAACTTGTTTAGCTAAACCTAAACAGGAGAGCTTAAGGATAATTTTTCAAAAAACTGGTTGCATCCTCCTCAAAGAGATGAAGGAGATCCAGAGAGTGATACTTGGTTAATATGTAATCGTCGTATGAAAAAGCCACTCTTCGTTGGCAGCCAGCACGAGTTAAAAGCATCATGTTTAACTTTGAATAGAAGATCCAAATCCACAATTTAACAAAGACAATCATGCACAAGTTAATGAGTAAAGTGGTTGCGGCTTCGAAAGTTTCCATTTTAATCAGCAGTTGTTTTGACACTTGAACCTGTTTAACAGAGATGAGAATGAAGTATATTTCCGCTAAAAACAAGCTCCGTCTTGCAAGCATAGCTGCAATGATATTGTAGTTCGATTGTTTTGGTTTAACCGTTGCATCTATAAACAAAATTGTCTGCTTTCAGGTCATCTGTTTAGTATTCAGTCTTCGGTTCAAGGGAATATAATCTTCCGTTTTTGAAGGTTATCAAATGTTTCCTGACAACATCTTCACCAAATATTTGACATAACCAAACCAGAAACCACTTTGTCTTTTTTAGTTTTGGGATAGACCCTTTAAACTGGCAAAGTTTCATTGAAATCGGTGAGATGGCATGTACCAAGACTGCCTGGTGCTCTCGTGAACACACTCTTAACTTTGTGCGCAGGTGCTATGAAACGAACGTTTTTGTTAGGCGAGTCATCAGCGCGCATCACTCTGTTTGCCTCATTGAGGGTATCATGAGGAGATGGCTTTCACGGCTAACGATTAAAATTTTGGCCATTCAACAGAATTTTTTTTAACGGTTAACTTTTTTCACGACTATCGGTTAAACTTTGGCAATTTTACGCCTTATGGATAAATTTTTTGGCCCTTTTACGGCGATCGTTTAACCTCGTTGAGAACCACTTTACCTGCATTACATACCGAGTGGTAACAGGAGCTTAGTGAATTCTTAGAAAATTTCGAATGATAACAGCAGAAGCAAAGGATTTTTTTTAAATAAAACCGTTTCCGCTTTCGTTAAGTGTTATCAAATTTCTTAAAACACCTTGTCATTTCATTTTTACTGCGGAGTTATGTTTCAATTTTTCCAGCTACGGGCTGAATTGCACATAACTCGCGGCAATATTCTGCTCAAAATTCTGCTTGAGGAGCTGCTAAATTGAGTATTGGCTGTGTATGGCTCTCCTGCTTAATTCTTAATTTGTTGAAAGTACATTTATTGACTTCGGACTGGGCTAAAATCGTAAGTATTTGCTTTTGGTTCGGCTGGAAACACGTCATGATTTTAGATAAAGAGACTAATTTTAGAGTTCGAAGTTTGGCTAATCCAACGTCGAAATTGCTGCCCAAGCCAGAAGTTGAGCGCAGCTTCTCTCGTACTGTAGCTCATTAAAGATAACACTGTTTATTTCTTTTCTAGCTCAAACGGTCGATATCTGAACTTGTTTGTACCTTTCGTGTATGCTCTATGCGTTTTATGTCAATCTTCAAACGTTCAAAGGGATTATAAGTATTTGCCTTCATTCTCAAACCATCATGAACCACGTCCAAAATCGCACAACAGCATACGTAGAAAGACGGACCATTAACCAGTTAATAATACAAACTTTGCTATTAAACATTAATTAAAGACAAAAACTTCTCTGATCTCGTAGGAATCATTAAGATGATGGCGAAAATTAACCTCCAATGAGGAATTTATCGACAGCTTTCAAGACACTGGAGTGGGCGTGATCTTAGTTGTGATTTTTTTCGAAAGGCAGGAATGGTGCGTAGAGGCGTGTAGAAAGACAAGTTATTTTTTTTAACATTAAACTATTGAATAAAATACAACAATGTTTATTAAAACTCCTGTTAGAGGCGATAATCAGTGAAAATGAAGATAGATTAAGCATTTTTTTATAAGACTAGTTTACCACTCTAAAGTTTCTAAAACTGTCGCTAGCAGGCGGCTAAAGTAGAGATTTTCTTTAAATTGCTTAACGGTTGGTATTGGTTTGAGTTTTTGACGATTGACGGTAAAAATAGATGCTTTTGACGGCTGACGGTAAAAGTTTAAGTCCTTTGACGGCTGGCTGTTGAACTCCATTGAGACACTCCCATACAGCCAAACCGCCGGACTACAGGTTTTCATCAATCAAATCGTCCCTTTCAGATCAAATCGTTTTCCACCTTTGTGAGTTTTTCTCTGTATCTTTCGAGGCCAATAAAAACAACTGACTGAGATATGAATCATACCAAGTATTGTAAATAACAATAAAAATAATGGTAATAATAAAGATAGTGTTCATTTTAATTTTGAAGTCGCAAGGCGATGAAGGGGAGGTTAATACTTTTAATCTTCATGGGGCAACGAAGTCTTAAGATGACCTGCAGTGTAATTAAAGTTCATTTAATAAGGAAGGGGGCGCTTGTCGAACGCAAGTTCAAGCATATACCTCCACTAGATACCTCCACCAAGCTCTATGGTCACCACAACCGTCACGTTAACAAAACGTCAGTGATTCTACATTTCTTACCAAAAAGTCTGGAGAAGTATTAATTTGTATGGAAAAAATAACATGAAAAGTGAAACAAGTTTGAGAGCTTCTTTGAATGATAATTTTTCTTCGGGAGACATGTTTAATCCCCCAGAAGTCTTTTTAGTCCCTAACAATTTAGAGTCGCAGTGATAATGATGACAGGGTACAAGTTGGGTTTGGCTGGGAACATCTTTCAGAAAACAAATACTAAGGGGACATAGCTAGAATGGAGATGGAACCCTCAGAGAGAGATGAGTCAAGGGCGTTTAAGGAACAGATGCATAAAAATCGTGGACGATGAGGCCAGGGAAGAAGGCTTCGCTTGGATTCAGCAGAGATAAGAACCCTTAAAGGATTCAAAATGGCAAGCACTTTCAATAGACCTTTGATTCACTGGAAGTGGAAGCGAATGGGCCGAGAAAGAAAACGATGATAAAGATTCGTAGTAACAATGACTTTATGAACCTTATTGAAAAACGATTACCTTTCGATGCTGAATCACAGGTGTAAACAACTGATGAGCACAGTCAAGTTTCATTTTGATCATTATTTTCGCAGAGATATGAAATAGTTAAAAAGTGAGCAAAAGACATGAACGAGTTGCGAATATGAGTTACTCTATATTAAGATCAGTCTAAAATGGGTAAAGCTTTTTAATTCTTGATTTTACGTTTCTAAAATATCTTTAAAAATCTATCCGAAGCTTCAGACGCGTAAGAAATTTCACCTGAAAAGATTGGAATGATCGTCGTGCGGTGATAGCTTGGGCCCTTGCAATCTTTAAGAGACCAAGTTAAAGATAAGGAAACTGTTGCTTCAAAGTATTGTTGGAAAAGGTTCATTTAAACTACACCCTAAAGAATGTTATTACTGTTATGAAGCTATTCATTAAAATTGTCAGTGTCACCAAATACCACAAATTCATGAGACACTCGATTTGCGAAGTCTTTGCAGTTATCTTCCATCTAGTGGTATGCTTTCTTCAGCTCATCATTGCGTTAAAGAAAGTCGATAAAATCTTTCATAGTTCCTTTGCAATCACCATGTTCTATTTAGACCACTGGAGCGTTTCTGCGGATTCCCTCTTTAAATTTGCTAACCATGAAACGATATTTGTCCCTTTGAAAGAGAATTTTGTCAGAGTGTTTCTCAATGGACCAATGCCAATGCGTCGTATTTATCACGACAAACTGATGGTTTATAATAAACTGGGTACGTTACCCTTTGTACAGAGTTTCGTTGTGCAGAGTGCCTTTGTCTTTCATTAAGCAAAATTTTTTTGAAGTTTCTCGAATTCGTCAATCCCTTGAAATTCGCACATTTCCTCTCTTAGTGAATCCTGCGTTTGATAAAAGTATGCAAATCCGAGTCTTCCAGGGCGGAAGACAAATTCCCCTCCCCATCTTCCACCTCTACTTCTCTTACAAGAACAACCGCTTCGAGAGATTTTCAAAAGCGTGGGTATGGAATTCGAGAGTTAAAAAAAACTTATCGATGCATGACTTCTAAAATTTTTCAAACATTGTTTCCCGTGAAATATTTTTTTTATCAGTAAACATAACAAAGTAAACGCTTGGAGTTGTCCTTCAGTAGCTTGTTCATTTAATGATTACGGCGCCGTTGGGGAATGTAAAGAAAATATAATTCAGCTATGCGTAAATATTTCTAACGCCTCGATCGAATCTTCTATCTAGTCATTTAATGAAAATAATAAGTTAATCACTCTAAGATTATGCAGAGAGAGGAGAGTATGGGCTGATAATGACCAGGGCCGTAGTTCAGGTTCTGAAATTAGTCTTTGATGGACCGAATTTTGTTCTGATAAGCATTTTTTATGCGTTAAAATGCGTTGAGGTGGATTTCAACTTATGAACCGCTACACGCGCT